TTTTTACATTTCTTTCACTCCTTTTTTTGTTTTCTTCCATTCAGTTTCTTTTTAGTTTCCTCCATTCCTGCTTGCAGTCTTCAACTGACCATGTGAAAAGAGTGACAACCACATAATTTCTCCACCAGATCATTGATACTAAATCATCTTTTCAAAGATATAAGTGTTAAAATACATCATAATCAAGCAATTCATCTATTGGCAGGAACTCTGTCACCTTTTTTTAATCTTAAAAGGGGCCATATTATACTAATATTCAGGTTCATATTTGTATTTGGTGACATGTTTACATGCTTTAATGTTCAAAAAGCTCTTTATTTTTCTCATACTGCCTGTGCTGCAGCACCTCTTTTCACCCTCTGTCTGAAACCAGAGCCCAGTCTGCTCTGATTGTGATTGGTTAACCGCCAAGAGCTGTCCCGCTCTTTACAATGTGTTGGAGCGCTAGCCAAGCGGGGATTTAGCCTTTGCAGACCATTTACTAAAACCTTTATAACACACTACAGAAAAAGGGAAAAGCCCAAAATCACAACAGGGCTGCTTAAAAACCCAAGGAAATCTGACACGTGTTTAATTTTGCTTCACTTAAAGGTGGGGTAGGTAAGTTTGAGAAACTGGCTCGAGATACACTTTTTGTTATATTCCATGGAATGCTCTTAACATCCCGATAGCAATGAATATCTTAAAGGAGAGGTGTCATGCTTTTCCGGTTATTACCCGTCCCCTTGTGTGTTATGAAGGTTTTTATGCATGTAAACGGTGTGCAGAGTCAAATCCCTCAAAGTACACCCTGTAGCGAGTAAAACTCTAACACAGAAAATACCTCCCCAAAACGCCTCGTTGGAGATACGTCATTGTCCATTTGATTCTTCCGGGTACGGCATGATGTCAACCCGTACCCGGAACGAAATGGACCAATCCGTGGAGCCGTTACGTCCGCGGAGCCGTTACGTTAAGCCCCCGCTGATTGGTCCAAATTGACCAATCCACGGACTTCCTCACACACACATCTGTGTGCAGGGAGCAGGCAGCTCAGCTGATTTCTCCTCCCTGGCTGCAGGCTGATAACAGACAGTTGGGATCACGGCGAAATTCTCTCTGCAGACCCATTCTCACAGCGTTTATCAACCTTTTTCTTACTCAATATCAAGCCACACTTATTGTTTTTACTTCGGATGTGACTTTGTGTGTGCTCAGGATGAGTTTGGCTGTGTTTCGCTATGTATCCTAAACAAGGAAACAACACCTCCACGGAGCTCAGCGCGATTCACAACGTCCCGACCAATCAGAGCACACTGTGCTCACAGGGAGGGTGGGGGCTGGAGCTATTGGAGCTACAACGAGCCGTTAAAGGCAGAGAGTGAAATTCAGTGAATACAAGTAGTTTACAGAGATGCTGTATGAGAAACCAATGTGAGTTTGGAAAAATGCACAGTATAAATCTATTCTAGTATACCTCAACAATGGAATTATGATCAGTGGAAATGGCCATGACACCTCTCCTTTAAGTGCTTTGACAAGAAATCCATAAAAAAATGTCATCTGTGGTAGAGATGGGCGAGTCCTGATTCATCCGGATCATTAACCCGGATCCTAGAAATGAGCTGGTCGTGACGAGTCTCCCCTCTCCATTAACCCGAGTCCTTGAGTCCCACACTTGGTGTGACGTACAAATTAAAACTATAAATTGCGTCACTCGCTACTCTCTTTATAACATGTAAAATCACATTACAACGTACCCCAGTCCATCTGCCTACCCTTTAGCAAGTATACAGGATAGCTGCCTGCCAGAAGTGATCGTTTGGCTCAGGGGAGGGGACGCGGATCAGTGAAACTTCCTGCAGACTCGTGGGGACTCAGAGGAGCCGACGGCTCCTAACCGTAATAGCATAGCAGATCCAGATATCCATACTCGTCATGTGCACGAGCATAGCCCCTCCTCCAGCACCCGGCTCCCGCGCTATCAACAGCAGACTCGCAGACTCGCAGACTCGCAGACTCGCAGACTCGCAGATTCGCAGATTCGCAGATTCGCAAATCCTGACTCGCTGCAACACACAGCGGATCAGACTCGTGCGGACTCGGAGCCGTAACCATATAGCAGCAGATCCAGAGATCCAGCAGACTCGTCGTCATGCACGAGTCCACAGCAGACTCAGATTCGCAAATCCTGACTCACTGTGCAACACACAGCAGACTCGTGCGGACTCGGAGCCGTATATAGCAGCAGATCCAGAGATCCAGCAGACTCGTCCTCATGCACGAGTCAACAGCAGACTCAGATTTGCCAAATCGCAAAATAACCCTTTTTTTTGTGATCAACATTTTTTATTAAAGCAAAATACACTGTGTAGCGGAGGTTAATATAACGTCAGTTTAATAGATAGATAGATAGATAGATAGTACTTTATTGATCCCAAATTGGGAAATTGTTGTTACAGCAGCATAAAAGGCATTTTACAATAAAACAAAACTACAAAATATACAAGAATAGAAAGAAAAATAAAATAAAATATAAAATATAAAATATACATGTCGAAATAGAAAATATACATGCAGATATTATATATATATATATACAAATATATATATATATATTCAAAATATATGGAATAATAATATGCTCGTGAAATGCATCAACTTTTCGGTTTCACCGATAGGATTTCTACGGTCTTGGTGATGCTGACTCATATGACTCAAATGACTCGTATGATCCGGATCTCTTCAATGACTGACTCAGAAGACCCTGAGTCCGTAAAAGGATCCGGATTTGCCATCTCTAATCTGTGGAAGCCGTAGTACTGTAAAAAGCACGACCAATCCTTTTAGCCGGCCCGGCTAAAATAACTGGATGGCCTACCTGCCTGTCAGCCTTCCATCTGTGCACAAACTTATCTCGTGCCCTCATTGGTCATGTGCACGTTCGTGTGTGTTGGAGGAGGGGCTCTATAAGGAAGTGGCAGATTTTCTCCGGTTGTGTATTTTCAAATTCTAGCGCACTCGAGCTGGTTTCTCCAAAATTACCTACCCTACCTTTAAAGGTCACCTATTATGCAAAATCCACTTTTTCCTTTCTTTTATACATAAACTCTGTGTAAAGAGATTCAGAAAGTTTCAGGAAAAAATATTCACTCTCTTTCTGTCATTTATATAAAAACCTGTCTGAAAATGAGCTGATCAGATTTTGGCCACTTTATGACCATTAGCCAATCACCAACCAAGGTAACCCCCCCCCCCCCCCCCTTATCACCTGAATCTCCTCCTAGAGCACCATTGTGTTCTTTTTAACCAAATATCTCTCAGAGGGGCGTGGGGAGTGGCTCCTTATTTTCATCTAAAGTAACAGACAGAGAATCAGCACTTTATAAACAGGGCTGAAACAGAGGGGATTATGGGATGCTACAATGCATGATCTGGTTGGTATTTCGAGGCCAAACACTTCAGAGACATGTTTTGTATCTGAGACCTATAATAAAGTAATGAAAAACAGTATAATAGGTGACCTTTAAAGTTTGACTGCTGGACTTCTACTCTACAGCTGATGGACTCATCTCCAATGATCTACTGTTGTTTCAAATGATATCAGAACTTTTTTCATTAAGTGAACCATGCTGGAATCCATTTTTTCAAAGCATCAGGAAATCTTGCCCTCAACCACAGCAGATTTGTATTACAAAACGAGGAAAATTGAAGATAATACGTTTGTTGCTTCCCGAGAATCAAACCCACTGTGAAGTAAATGAGAACATCTGTCTCGACTGCAGCAGAAAGGAGGAAGAGAAAAAGCTAAAAAGAGGAGGGAGGGAGGAGAGAAACCTCCCTGCTGCAGCCAGAGGAAAGAACTGAAGGATACGATTTCAGTGAACACAACCTACATTTCACTCAGAGTACAAGAGACTTTGAACAAAACATTTCACGACGGCATAACCTCCTCCTCCTGTCACACACACACACACACAGTACAGCCTATGGTTTCTATAGCAGTGGTGTCAGGTTAAGGCGAATGCAAGTTCAGTCTAACAGAAAAAGTGCCCAGAAGGAGTTTCATTGTTCTCATTTTCCCCATGTTCCATTGCATTGTTCAGCTCTGTGACACGGTTTGACAGACAGCTCGGTTAATGTTGACGGGTTTAGAGGGCGTCTATGGTTTTCCAACCTACTTTAGATGAAACCATTCCCAACTCTGTAGCACCGAAGCATTTACGGCTCTGTTCCCATAGAAACTGCGCTCATGTGTGTCCCGTGAATTATGGCGACTATACAGTAGCTTGGGAAATGGTGACATGGGGCACTGGATTTGATTAATTTAATGTTTAACAGACCATAAATGAGACAAGAATTAGCTAGCTAGCATGCAATGTTCTGTCTACATTTTAATGCGATACATGCTATCATACGTTTCACTTGTCATGGTCCATCAAGTCTATGATTACCGTTTATGGAAGTGTTGTCAGAAATCATAATACATTAGATCAGGTTGTTAAGAAAAACATTTTCAAGTTAATGCCAAGGTCATTGATTTTTTTTTTCTAAATTCATAAAATGATTAGGATTTCTTGAAGGATTATGATTCTACAGCACAACAAATGTATTATCAAACCTCAACATTTTAGAAATGCTTCCTTTTCTCAAACATTGAACAGCATGTGTCTTCCCGCAGGGCTGCACTCGGCTTCTGTAAACTGAGAGACTAAAAACAATCTTGACAGAGAAGCTAGAAGATTGCATGAAAAATGCCTCTTGTATAAATAACAAAGTGTTTCTACTCTCTTGTATCCCGATGGCTTTAATAGAAGAAAGACTGTAAAAACAAAGGGCATGCATGGAGAAGATGCAGAGATCTACACCCTGCTCCTCTTAGTTTTTTGACTAAGGGTGATGTGCAAAGCCACTGATGAACTCCAGCTGTGCTGTTACACAGAGCACCCAGCTGGAAGACGCCTCTTTGAGCCAGCACTGACTTCCTGCATGCCAACACAGTATGCTGGCAGCTAATCATCGGGCCTTGACGTCTGGCATCCCACTGTCATCTCCGGAGTTGTAAAAAGGGAAGTGTGGGACAGATCTGTGGATTATAGCCACTGCTGTCTGCAAGTTTGGAAGGGCACGAAAAACCAGCATCAATCCCATGTTCACAACAAATGATTGCCTAATCCAACGGGAAATAATGTATTCTTAAAGTAGCACAGATTCCTGACAAACCTGAGGATGTCTCTGCCTGTCCCCTGCCAGCAATGTCCTCCGTTCCAGCTACATACAGTGGCTCCAGCGCTTCAAAACAGATCTGCTCATCCTCTGACTGCCTATAGGAGAATGTCCCGCCATTAGCATCTTAACTAACATTCATAACCCTAACCCTAACCCACATCATGAACTGAGGGTTAAGTGCTTGGGACTACATCAACATTTTGACTACAAGGGCTTGGAAGACAATCACCTACCTCATGGCCACAGCTGACACCACCCGAACCCGTCAACTTCAACCAAGCCGTCAGCTGACCCGATGTTGTTACCTTAACTCTTTTTTGTGTTTTGCTGCCCCTGGGAGTCTGATGAAATGTAGCCAACTCTGGGAACATTTATGACTGTTTATGTCCCTGTTAATTAAACAAACATGGTCATTGGACCTTGGTTGCTCTGTGTTGGTGTGACAGTGTTTGTGTGTTATGCTGCTTTACCTGTTCTGGTAGCATTGGTTTCAGAAAATGTCAATGCCCTTAGGTTGTATAGTATCTAATGTTGATATCCAAAATATCTCAGCTTCTTAATTTGAGCCATATTCGGTTTATTTTTCTTACTGTGACTTTAACAGGTTTTAATCTATATATACAGTCTATGGTTTTAATACATGTTCCAGAAAATGCTGTAATGTACTAATGGAGTGTGTATTGCTCTTTTTCAAAATGTTACATATCCTATCGTAAGAGAATCTTACTAGAATGGTATCGTCACGTTCACATACATTATATAACCACATTCCGAACATGCAATAAAGACTTCTTGAGTCACGGCTCTTATGATCTTGAAAACATTGTTTGTTGGCCAGTGTTGGTGATATCCCTAAGGTCAAATGGTATACAGTATATTAGACACTAGGTGGTTTGGTCTGGTAAAATGTGTTGTGGATTTTCTAAAGAGCTACACTACCCTCTAGTGGCCAAAGCCAAAACTAACACTTAAGTAGCCAGCTTGAAATCTTATCGAACCAGCCCCAGCAAGTGTGCTTATGGTGGTAAATTGTTTTGTGTAGAAGAGCTGGGCTGTCCGTCTCTTTGAAAATAAAATGTTAGATAAAAGTTGTGGGTTTTAAAGAAATGTGCACTTTTTAATTTGGTAATATTCAAAAATCAACAGAAGTCAACTGGTAGTAGATTTAACCTTGATAGATGAAATGGTTGTTCAGGGTGAACAAAAAAATTACACTTAATCATCCAGATATACAATGTACAGGCCACTTTGTGCATGATGCTATACTTCTCGGCCAAGGAAGAGTAAGCATATGCAGGGGCAAAACATACGCTCATACATTTTGAGTGTTACAATAAAAGTTGTAATTCTCACAAATGTTACAGAATCATTTGATTCCATTCAGAATCCTAGATAGCCTGAGTACCTATGAAACATTTGATGAAAATGTATTAATTTGAAATACTTTAGCATGTGTTAGCAATAGGCTTTGGTAAAAACATAAACTATAACAACTTCTTTTGGGTTTGGTGAAATGTAATTTTGTGCGCATTCTATAACAAGCCAAAACCTTAATGAGGAAGCCTTTTTCTTAAGTTTCCAGAAGAAAATGTCTTCGCAAACTTTAGAAGGCATCCATCCTAAATGTGTTCATCATTACTAACAAAGCAATGCTATCACAAGCAACTAATCAGCCCCAAAAAAAGCCAAAACATTGATTTCTTCTTGGAAGAAAAAAAAAAACCTTGATAAATATATTGCACAGATGTAAAAACAAGTTATTTTTTTTATTCATACATATTTTATTACAATTATTTGAAATTCATGTCAAGCAACAAGCTCCAACTGAAACCATACACACACATTAGCAAGCATAGACCCACTGCTGCCAGACAGAACTACAGGAAACACGCAGATATTTAAAATGAGCCACTGATGATGCAAGGCAATCACAGAAACTGTAATCCCTTCAGGAGGAATCCAGACACCTCTGCAGCCGCTGTAAAAGCAATTACTGGGATGTACACAAAAAAGAAAAATGTTGCAAGGTATGAAGAGGGCTGAAATAAATAACGATAGAGATGTGCATAATTATTACAGTATGTGTCGGGAACTTGACAGCGAAGCCCACATGTATTTAAAGATTAACGTAGTAAACCGGCTCCCCCTGTGTTGCTGTAGAGCTGCCTGAGGTGTCCCGGGGTACAGAGGGTCTTCACTGTGGAGGCTGTGAATGACATGCAGCTGCAGCACCGTTCATGTTATTGATCATCACTTCTGACATGCTGCTCTTCTCCAACCTGTAAAGGACAGTAAAACACATTTATTCATTCAAAGTTAAAATAAATCAACATTCAGGTTTTATTAAAACATGGCCTCACCTGGGCAAAAACCTGCATGCTGGAGTAAAGTTTCCAAACTGAATCTGTGATACTGCATCACGGAGGCAGGATGTGGGTCAGGATGAAAGGCAATGGGATCAAAGCAGGCACAGCCTAAAGACAGAATAAGTCATCAATGAGTAAAATGAAAACAAAACGGTCCAAGATGGGTATTTGTAATTAGTGTCATTGCATCATTTACCAGATCTGTACTATGATCTTTGAGAATATAAAGACATTCAATACTGACTGTTCCAACATCTCAGTTGCAGAATCCTTTTTTTCTGATTACAGCAAACCACAGGGTTCCTTCAGCTTAAGGCAAGTTATATTTACTTTAAATAACGCCAATGAAATTAAAGACCAATTATAAATAACCAAAGTGATTGCCTAATCTGAAACAGGTACGGCGTTAGCAAGACTTTGTGTCGATATCATATTCTACCATGTTTAAAGGGTGAAGCCATTCCCTGAAAAATGCTGCAGGCAGTTGGGACAATAATCTATGTATCGTTACCTTCCGGCATGAGTTCACTTGTGTGAAATATGAGACCTGCATAAATCCGAGTCAGAAATCAGTAGAAGTCTTTAGAATTCCAGTAGTGATTCAAGCAGCTCAAAGAGGGAAGCTCTGCTTGGACTTTTGAAACAGATAAGGAACAAATATCAGCTCTCCATAACAACACAAACGTTGACTTACTCTGCATCCTCACCAGCTCTCAGGGTGGATTTCTTCCACCCATTATCGGGGGGAACTTCTGCCGTTTGGACCCGTTTGGTTCCTTATGTTGACAATAGCTCAAACATAATGCTTAACCACGTCCTTGAAGGCTCCCATAGCCTGGAAAAGGGAGAGAGCAGGACAAAAACACTTGAAAAATGTGATGAGAAAACATCCAGGCCACCGCTCCTCTTCTAGGCGTGACTCAGATGGCCCCTGTGCACATCGGCTGTCTCCACAGGAAGTCAGGACAGATCTGCTGCGCCACTGCACAGCGACCCGACTTAGAGTGCAACTCATCACTGACACACCCCACATCTTTTAAACACTTCATGTTTTGGATGGTGAAGGCACTTTTATTTGTGTTTCCCCTGATCTGTCAGAACATTTCTGTTTTTTTTCATCAATTAACAAAGACTGAAAGTCACAATAAATGTCAATGCACATAAAAGCAACTGTTGTTCTGCACAGACAAACCAAAGTAATCATTGTTCTCTGCCATTTATGGTGATAGTCTGAAAGGCCCGAAAAACACCGGGAAGGCAATAAGTAACTTGTGGTGATGAAGCATTTGAATATTAATAATACAATGAATAAGAATGTACTCAATTTAAGACTAGTTGCTGCATTGACTGTCGCAACTAAGATGCTGACCAGACTATTTTCAATTTAGCATGAAGCAATATGTTCGCTAAGATCGGGCCACACACATATTTGGCAATCAAATTAGATTAATAGAAATTGGGAATATTGAAGCCAATAACACACTAAATAGGGTAACTGGCACCATAGATGACTAGCTATTTTAAATTATAATGTTTGAAGCTCGTAGCAAATCTAAAAACCAACCTGTAGCCATGAAGAGCGGATCTGTTTCAGGGGGAAGCTCCAGATACTCCACATCGTCACTCCATTTCCAGATAGGACGGGCTACATAAATGAATATCCTGGAAAATATGCAAAACAAAAATCAGGGTTGGTTATTTTTCAGATGTCCATTAAATAACATAATTGAACACAAAATGAATAATAATTGAAGATATCGACACAGTTAGGTCTTCTGAAATGCAACAATCAGGTTAGGTCGGGGTACTGATGCCACTGCACCAAACAACCCAACTGATCAGTGCAACTCATCACTCTCACACCCACCACCACGGAGGAAGAACTTATGACATTAGGAGACCCTACGGCAGGGTGGTTTACCTTGTGTTCCCGTTTCATATCGACGGGGAGCATCATCAGGCAGTATAGTGAGGGCTTCATGGTAGTTAGAAGTCAGGCCTGCGTACACAACAACACACAATGCAAGAAGCTAACGTTAGCCTTAGCCATGTGAACAACACGTGGTCAATCTTGGTTGCACAGTCCGTGTTGAAAAACGTTAATGTAAAAAGGTAAACTGGCCTATGTGACAATGTAAGGGACTGTAGTGGTTGGTTAGTAATACGTATTTCTCTTCAACGTTACAAACAAACAGTAACACGTTGGTTAAAACAAAAGGCCAAGCCTCACAGTTAGCTAGTTAGCTCTGGTGTGTTTAGCATTTAGCATCCGCTTCCGTTTCTTAAAACACCCACACTGTCCCTACTAAAACAGAACGGCCAAAATCACCTCATACAAACTCACCTTCGTCTGTATCCAGGCTCATTTCTTTTATTAGATGTGTTATGTTTTTTACTTTGGGTAGCTGATCGTGTATCTGACTCACTGGACTAGTGCGCGTGGATTCTAAGCAGCAAGTACGTTTTGTAAAGCTAACCTCTCATTGGCTTAAACCCTGGAACGATAGTGGACGTTTATTGGACAGTTGAATAATTGTCACGTTTGAACCACCAATGAAAAGTTCTATATCGTTCACACAAGAGTTAAGGTCAAAACCATAGACTGTATATAAAGGTCAAACCCTGAATATATTTATTTTAGTTTAATTGGAGTTGTTCGTAACATAACTTTACAGCTTTCTTGCAACTTTTATTTTGTCCTCATATTTTCAAATAGAAATACACATTTTTACTTTGCCTACTCTTTTGTGAGCCTGACTGTTCTGTTTAAAGATGAATGGATTGCCTTTTGTAAAATACATACATACAAAGTACATACATATAGCCTATAACATGTTTACAAACATATCCTGAATATGCCATTCAAGCATCTGAATGCAAGATGCCAAGTATATATAAGTTACTGAGGTTATCTGGTGCTTGGCGCATTTTGTTCACCTGTTCATCAGTTAAAAGCCATATAAAGCTGAGTGTGCAGATCATTAAAACATGTTTGTATGGTACATTGTATGTTGCCTGCAATAAAATACTAGCATATTTTAGCACCTCGTCTCTTCTGCAAGGACGTGAGTGGTTTATTTGTTTTCTGTCATTGGGTTCTTGTCTGGTCCACCTTGTTTCCTTTCACATAGTAGTTTGTGCTTCAGGTACAAACTGCTTTTTGGTGGGACCTTGAAGTTACTTCAAACATCTTCAAACACATCTTTACTGGTTCACATTATTCACTCCAGTGGAAGCCCCCTGAACAGCTGGCCATCGCAGCAGCTCCATCACCAAGCCACTCTAGGGAGCCTGCTGGTGCCCATCTTTTCTCCTCTTTGTTATGTCTGTGATTATCTACAGAAGCAGACATCAGCCTTTTCTTTATTGCTGCATGAGGGTTGAGGAATAAGTACATAGATGAGCGAGCCAAAGGTTTCATTGAAATGCAAATGCAATTTTATATTAAAAGATAGCAAAGGGATCATTCACTATATCACACAACACAGCTTGTTAGTACTGCCATGGAAATACATATACAGTCTTTTCATATTTACACATCAAGTGACAACCAAACAGAAATCATAAATACCTCTTTTTGTTAACTTTACAACAGCTATACGCGACCAGTATTTCAGAAGATAAAAGAGCACTATTAAATAACTGGCATCTTCCCTATCATTTACAAGGCTTGGAAACACAGTGGTTAAAATAATCCAGCGAAAACAAAACAAAATGTTCTTCTCCAGTGAGTAAAATTAATACAAGTCTAAAAACGATCATGAAATCCCTTTGTACAAAAGACTATACAACTTAATCAACACAATATCTTCAACAGAAATGTTTGCTTATATCCGCATGATAAAATCTGTACAGTTTTAGCATTCCTGCAGCAGAGTTGGAGGGACTGTGAGCCGGGTGATTGGTTACTGGGTCGCTGTGATGCTCTGTAGGCCTCGCGTCAACCAACCGTCAGAGATCGTAGTTATGTAGCTGCCAAGACCCTCTCTCATTGGCCTCAGTGCTCGTCTAGCAGCAAATCAGCAGGTTGCTGAGCTTGTAGCAGATACTTCAAAATACATGGTTCTATAAACTAACCGATATATTTGTCAATATAGTATTTCCTTGTACCATACCTCAACAACAGACAGAATGGTACTCTAAAGTTAAAGCAATGCATAATATATTGTATTAAATTCATTTTTCAGTAAGTTGTCAGTGATACATTTCTAAACTATAACCCTCACTGTCTGATGGGGTCAGACATGCACAGTGTTCCTAAGTTACATACATGTATGTGTTATACTGTACTGTGGCAGACATTGCAAGTACACCTCTGCATTACAGCTCTAGAGTTGATGAAGCAAAACTGAAGTTATTAAAACAATAAATGTTCTCTAGCGTTTGGCCATGCAGATACTTTTGGTTGTGTGAGCCAGGTTTATTTTGTTTTAATTTCCATATCTTTAATTTCCCCTTACCCCAAAAAAGAGAGCCAATAGAATGTGTGTGATTATGTTCCAGAAGTAAGAAAACTCAATTTGAAAAAGTTACATTTATGTGTACTGATGCACATTTCTTAAAATCCAAACATACAACATCATCTTTCTCAACAGAGAAGATGATGTTCAGTTTATATTTACATTATTTGAAAGGGATTTAAACATTACATACAAGCCGTACGTTTTCAGGTAAAAAAGGAAGGTATTAAAATCGACAAGGAGTGCAGAATGGCGCATACATTCTTATTTAGGAAGCTTATATTACAATGAATAGGTTGGTAAGATGACATACGTTGATACTATGGGATTGAGAAGGGAACATTAACGATGACACACACACACATTTAAGGGAGATATTTGTTTCTATTTAGCGATAGTAATGTGTTGTTATTAAAGAGCTTCAAATTCTAAGAGTAAGTGCTGTTTTTTACCAGGAACTTGTCCCAAATTGTTATGAAAAAAAAGACCAATTAAATTAACAGCTAATGAGGATTGGGAAAGTAGTTAAAAAAAACAAGTGGTTTGGGAATAATAAATCCCAAAGAAATAAAACTATCTGCATGGCTAAATAACACTAGTTGTGAGGAAAGGTTTTTGTCATTGGGACCGAAGAAGTAAAAAAGTATGTCACAAACCTGTGAGAAAAAATATGTTACAGCTTAAAGGGGAATAAGAACGAAATGTTTGGCACTTAGGCTGTTACTTCATCTTGGCTTCCTCTGCTATGCCCGAGGATCAGCAATATTTGAATTATAATTCAAAAGAAAGAAATAAAAGGCTGTTTTCAGGCTAATTAAGCTAATGTTGAATGGACTTCTGCAGCCAGCTGAAAGAACCAGCTACGAAACATCCTTACTCGACCTGTTGGAGGCTGTACAATAAGGAATCAACACTGAGGGCCAGTCGGTAAAGTCAAAGGAGAGAAATATCCTGTAATTAAGATTCCTATTGAAGTGTAAATGCTGAAAGAAGCATGGAGAGTCTGTGAAGCCCCACCCTTTGGCACTGACATAAATACAACTCTTGAATACCCGGGTTCTAACAAAAACACTCTCGGCATCTTCTGAAAGTCAGCAAACCAACTCCACAAGTACAAAAACGTTCATAAATAGAGTTCATAAAGACATGAGTGGCATTAGAGAAAGCATCGCGGTTACGTCGTCCAGGGAGTATGTTGTTCTAGCTTTATCCCGAAAAATAAAAAGTTGTACACAGAGAAGCGTTTGTCGCATTGAGAGTCTGCATCCTTAAAAAGGCTCCAGATTACGCTTGTGTCTCTCTGTTCACTTCCTCCCCAGTTGCTTTTTCCAGCATGCTCATTAGTTTATCATTTCGCCTGAAGGCAGTAGCACTCAGCGTAGGGTACTGTACTGCACGTGTGTGTGTGTGTGTGTGTGTGTGTGTGTGTGTGTGTGTATGTGTGTGTGTGTGTGTGTGTGTGTGTGAGTACAAGTAGGACGGAGCCCCAGATACAGAGACAGGAGTTGTTGTTTTTCGGGAGCTTAGTTGTGTATAACCAGTTCATTTGTACCTTAACTCTACGTATGCCACTGTTACTGTGTTTGTACCTATTTATCTGTGTACCAGCTATAAATACAGGTGTGTGTATGAGTGTGTTAGGTAATGGAGGTTGAGATGAAGCACAGAGGGCTCCTCACACTTCGCTCTCGGTGGAGGGCTTGCGTGTGGAGACCCAGCCGGTGTCGGGCAGGCTGTGCTGGGCGTGGCGCTGCGGGGTGATGGCTGAAGGGGTCAGGGTGGTTATGGAGGAGCATTCGGACGCTTCCTCCTGGAGGAGCTGCTCCGTTTCGCCGTCGTCTAGCGAGGCGCTGCTGGCCTGCAGGGACACGGTGTCGGTGCGCATGCAGGTGTGCAGGCCGCCTCGGGACGGCTTGATCTGTTTTAGGTCGTCCCAGTAAAGCTCCTCATTGGACAGGAGACACACACCCTCCACTATGCGGATCTTCTCCTTGGTGTAGCCTCCGTCCACTCCCCCCTGGAAAACGAGAACAGAGTAGTTAGTTAGAGGGATGGCCTCCTTATGAGCAGGTTAAAGCTCATGGTACTATTTGTTAAACTTAACACTTTCTAAGAGTTAATTGATCAAGCTACCATGATGTGGCTCTGCTTTATTTCTTTGTTACATGCATTTCTTCTTTTTCTCTCTTGTTCTGTCTTCCTTAAGACTTCCTTCTTTTTTTAAACACGCCACTAGGGGTCACCCTCAACATAAAAAAAGACAGTTTGGTGACGTCATGCACTTATAAGGTATCATCAATTAAATACCAGTTTTCCCTAGGTTTGAACCATTTGGTTTAATGTAAGTATACAACTCAACAACATATATAAAATACAGTAGATATACTAATTTTAAAACATATCAATGCAAACATGTTATTAATTATACTGTCACATTTAAAAAAAAGTTTATTAGTGTTACACAAACATCACCAAAACTTTAAAAAGTTGAACCTGTCAACAAAATGGTTTCCTTTGAGGGTTTTGCACAGCACAACACTCCAGAACAACATGTCACCTTCAAACACAACCCATGCACATCATGTCGGCTCCTCTGATGCTGTGCCTTCTTCTGTAGGTTTCTTATTTTCAGATTGAAGTGCTACAAGTTCATCATTTTAATAAAGAAAAACACCAGGATTTCAATCTGTGGAAACTCGAGTGGAATCTAATGTATTGTTGATAGCATGAAAAACAGGGACAGTTTTCCAGAACAAATGGACAAATGATCCAGTCTGTTGTTATAATAGTTAGAACAGTGTCTGTTCATATCCACCTAATTTTCGTTTTTTGACAGCTGGTGCAATAGGTTGCAATAAATAGAGACTTAGAAATGGATTTGGCCTTATACAATATATCTAAGCTTTGAATGATGAATCAAACAAAAGGCGGCCATCCCTTCATTGTTTCTTCTTGATTCCTTGCCTGTTGAAATGTCAGTTTTCAAATGTAGGTTAAACACTGACTTAATGTTAATTTCAGACAGCAGGTCCCATGCAGTTGAAAGAGAGACAAAGTGAAGGAAAACAAAGAAGCAAAAAGAGGACACCACTCCGTCATGCTGTGTAACTACCTCTCCACAGGGCAAGTGGGTCAAAAGATAAAGGGGGAGAGGGAGTTGTAGGGATGAGAGAGCTGCAGTGAGGAGAGAAGGGGGGGAGAAAAGATGAGCGCTGGTGTCTGTAACCTACTTACTGTAACATCACGTTACAATATTACAACTCGATTCATCAGACAAACAGTGAGATCATTTGTCTCCATTGTTACCCACCGTACACCTCCATAGTCTGTGATCATTCTATGGAGTTATCATGGATTCACCTGAAATCCATTCAGATATTAGATCAAATAAGTTTAGTGTCGTTTTTCCTGTCCGTTACCTCTTTCTTATATCGCAGCTGGTTGTATATCGGAGGCTTTTGCGACGCCTCAATCTTGACCTCTTGTGTCGATGTCCGATACGAGGGGTTACTGTAGGTCAAGTTGCTCACTCCCGGGTCGGCAAACTTCGACTTTTTATGTCTGTCAGTCAAAAATGGAGAGAAGATAGTACATAGCTTAATACATTAAACTATCCACTGTGTGTAATTTGTATGATTGTGTTATTGCACCCTGTGTTTCAATCCAGGAAGTAAGATAATTCAGAAGTGTCAAGTGGGGTACTGACCTGTAAATAATCAAAGCAGCGATGAGGATCAAAATAGCCAGGATGGTCAGAACTCCACCAATCACATAGCTGATATGAAGTCCTTCTCCTGAAATATATATGGCACAGATGTTAACAGAGCAAAATACAGTGCTTTACTCTCTTACCCAATTTCAGTTTCACTTCACTGTGTTTAAATGTTTTGGGATGTATGGTAGCACTCGTAACAAGTCCTATATTTACAGCCTTTCAATGTTTATGTTTATTAGAAACCTGAGATGCAGGTGTCTCTCCTACAAACTCAACATCATTCTCCAACTTTATGTGAATGCAGAGTTGAAAATAACGGTGTGTAGCACTGTAAGTGCTAGAGGAAAGTGCTATTCACATTTAATTTGCATTTGATGATGGATTTTAGCATCCTTATTTGTTAAGCAAGTCAAGTATAACGGTTTTTCAGTGATATTTCCCAATTGGTTATTACTTTAACTCCCACACAAAGTAGCTTTGGCATTAGCAAAGCTACATTTGAAGCAGTGGGAAAGTGTTCAAAGACAAAAAACGTCCCCTTCTTAGACCAAAGCTGTTATCATGTTTACTTGCAAGTTAATAACTAACAACTACAACCAACTTTGTTTTAAAACTATCTAGAGCAGGCTAGCAGTATCCCTCTGCTTCCAATAGTCTGGCTTAGCTCTCTGTACTACTGACACACATGGATACAATACAAACATTGTTCTTTAGAGTGGTAGAATGATAAATATCAGATTGTCACATTAAGACAACATGCATTGTGTAAAGTGATGAAGGGAGAACTTTGTCGTGTACTGACCGTGAGGAGCCGTCACCACGCTATTCACACACCCCTCTACGTTTAGGTTCTTGTCAGTGCAGCTGTAAAAATGAGACAGAATCCCAGATTGAAAAGGGTACTTTACATAATAGCTACAATGACTTCACAAAACATGATGTGGTTTTTCCTGTAGAGGACTCTCTGTAGGGTTTTAGCAATAGTCTGTAAGCTTCTGTAGTTAATGATTTAATGATTCTATTAGAGATGATACATTATACTTCTCTATGGGATGAGACATTTCTCAGATCTTTATAAAAAGGCTTGAGAGCACTCAATATGTTGTTCTTTGAGCAAGATAGGGCAATTCTTCTTCTTTTTTCAACAAGACCTGGTTCTTGTAATTGTAAAAGTTATTTCTTTTTGATTGTTTTGTAAAAAAAACAATTAAACAAACAAAAAAAGAAGACAAACATGACGCTGATGACGATGACCTAATATTTTATTTATAAGCAAAATGTACGCTAGAGAGGGTAGGACCAGAAAAGTTTGTTTAAGCTTCTTCTTGCCCCTGTTGAACATGACAGAGACTATTTGAGAATTCCTTTTTTTGTACTTTGTTATAATTATAAGTAAAAAGAAAAATATATATATATATACATTTTTATTATTGTTGTATGTTTTGTTTCTGACATGTTCAATAAATTGTCAAAAAAATTAAAAATAAACACAAGGGTCATACATGGGTTTTTAAAGCAGTTATGCCAACATGTAGAAGAGGGTTAGGGTTAGGGTTAGGTATGTAATTACTCTAAAAGGAAGCTTTGCCATTAGAAATGAATTCATAGAGACAAACAGACGTACTTGACCGCTGAGGCTCCTCCATGTGGAACGTCGGTTGTAGATTTGGGGACCTTGTTGGGGACAGGAGTGCTGCTGGTTCCTCTGGCCGGAGCGGTGGGGACGTAACCTGAAACTGATGAAAACATGCACATTAGAACCGGAGTGAGATAGCTGTTTTTTGGTTGTCTTTAATTATTATTTCTACAAGGTTTAGGCATTGCGTGAAATTGTATTTGAGCCGTGTATCTGTGTGTTTGTTACTCTTATTTCATATCATATTTTTTGGTAAAACATATTTAATTTGTTTTAAACCTTGTTCGATATCTGAGTTCCCATAGGCAAGGCAAGGAAAGGAAAGGCAAGTTTATTTATATAGCACCTTTCATATAAAGGTCTGCCTAGACATTGCATGCAAACACGCTGGCATGGTCAAACAAAAGTCAAACAGTCATCAGGAACAGTCACAGGGCACAGTGGTCACTCACTGGTGGAGCAGGGTCGCCCGTCTGGCTCATCGGGGCAGGCGCACACAAAACTGTTGGTCTTGGCGAAGCAGAGGTGAGTGCAGCCGCCATTATTTACTCCACAGAGATTAGTACCTAAATGAGAAGAAAGGTAACATTCAAACAGTGTGTCTGAGTCTGGTATATCGGAAATTAGGGAGGGTTTTTCCGCCGTGATAAGATCTGAATTGAGCTTCCTTTACCTAACAGCACTTAGACTCTGAAAAAAAAAAAGGTCCCAGCATTTAAATAAAATTCAAAATAATAATAGTGGCTACCTCTTGTGAAATATTTCTTCCATTTCTCAAAATACTTTTAAAAAAGCTCAATAAAGTCAGAGTTAACTTCAACATTCCTGCAGCACATATCGTGCCAGACAAAAAGTTACTAAACAAGCTTCAAATCGACAGGCTACTACTGAATCAATGTGACTATAATTAAAAGTGTTTTTACAGGGAGGCAAATTTGATGGGGTTCATTTCAGTTCTGATTATGTTTAAACTGTGAGAGAAATTCCTACTGATTAAATACAACATATATGTTTGAGGCTGTACTCTGTGGTGTTGTTGTGAACATTTTTGTAATATTTCAGATCAAATTAGTGTAATTGAGTTAAATGACCATTTGAATACATTCTCAACTTTGGTATTTGTTGTCTTATGGCATCGCGTTATTTTCCTCTTATGTGTCCAGTTTGTTGTCTGTTTCCACCCTGGTTCCCATGCATTGGGAAAAGAGTATATTGCAAGGGAGTTTGCCTGCATTTAAAAACCTTCATAAATGTGTAATTTTAGTGTGAAAGGGTATAACTGATGAAACTTGCAACCCACTCTACACCTTTATTCATTTCCTGTTTTATTTAAAGCTCTAATTCTTAAATCAGTCTCTGCTGCTTCAGCACTTTACCAGCGACACACTCCCCTGTCCTCACAGATGAACAAAGTGAAGTCTCTGGTGTCTCCTGTAACATCTGGAGTTGTACCCTTACCTGTCTGTCTGTGAGGTGATACCACTATAATGTCCATGAGGCCCTCCACGTTGGTCAGCACAGTTTCCTTGTTGCGGCCCGTGTGTTTGTCCACCCGCTGGATGGACTTAGTCTGCCAGTCCGTCCAGTAGATCCAGCGGTCTTGCTGCGAGAGTCGGGAGAAAGGAGTTAAAGGGGAGGACACCGGCTTCAACTGGGGAAACGAGGGAGAAGAAGAGAGGAGAGAAAAAACACAGACAAGGAGAAGGGGAATGGGAGGAAGAAAGGGAAGGGGAAGAGGGAGGGAGGAAGAAAAATGAGGGTCAGAGTGGAAGAAGAGAAATGGTTAAGTCGAATGGGTTCAGCATGAGTTGAAGGACGCAGAGACGGAGTCACACGGTGAGCCGATGAGTGAAAGAGAGCAGGTGAGTGGAGGAGGCAGCCAGGAGGAAGGGTCACCCAGTGATTGACAGCTGAGGGTGAGGAGGGGAGGGGGTACCTGCGTGAGGGCAAACGGGTGGGACACCGGGCTGACGAGGACCTGCCGCAGCTTCCCGTTCAGGTCCGAACTCTCGATCCTGTCCAAGTGGGCGTCCACCCAGAAGATCCTGCAGGAAACACCACAGGTTCATAAACACACTTCTGTCTGTATGAGCCTTCTGACTGCACCGGAGAAAAAAACACCTATCTCTTTCATCACTTTCTAAATCAAAAGATGTATCAATTAATAGGGTTACAACTGAAATACAAATAACTAAAATATGATTTAATATGTCAGAAAAAGTTCAAAATTGATATCCTAGGTTAACAAAGTCAAGGGTATGTCTTTAAATGTCTTGTTTATTAATTCAAACACCCAATAATGTTTGTTTAATTCATTTACAAACAGAAAACCATGAAATCTTCATCTCTAAAAAGTGTACAAAAATACATTTTCCGACATTTCTGCATTAAAATGGACTTTACTGATCCATCAATAGTCAAAATAATATATCTTGTTGTTGTTGATTGACTTGGCATTGCAGATCTATCATTTAGCTCTAAATAATCCAAATTGGCTAAACTTCTAGCACTCAACCCTCTGTATCGTATATTTAGTTGTTATACATTAACTGGCCGTTATACAAATCTTCATAAGTCTCTCCTTGACTTGTAGATATTATTTTCAGATATGGTGAAGATCATCATTTTTTCAAAAGATCTAATCTGATTTAATTTACAAGGTTACTATGTAGCCCCTTTCACACACAGGCTTTCTCTCTCTCTGACCTTCGTGTGTCGTAGTCCAGTGTGAGTCCGTTGGGCCAGCCGAGGTCAGTGTTGATCAGAACCTTTCTGTCAGAGCCGTCCAGGTGGGATCGCTCAATCTTTGCAATGTGACCCCAGTCAGTCCAGAACAGGTACCTGCAGAAACCAGGAGAACTGGTGAGGAGACTTTCTACTGCACAACGTTGAAAGAAAATATTGGCAACCATGTGACACTTTCAAACTAAAAGACAATGTATGACTTCTTTCTGCTAAGATTCCACTTTTTCTACTGGTAGTTCCAGCATAGTTCATAATCTGTCTCCTGGTCATCTTTTAACAGCTCCAAAATGCTTAAGAAATATACTTTAATAGTTTCAAAACCCAAACCGCCATTTCTATTTGTATGAGAGCCCAGTCCCCTGTCTTACCCTTTGCTCGGGAACACTGCGATGGCTCGCGGTTCATCCAAACTGTTGTTGACCAGGACTTTGCGGCTTGTTCCGTCCAGGTGGGCCACTTCGATGGTGTTGCGCCCGGTGTCGGTCCAGTACATGTTCCTGGACACCCAGTCTACAGCCAGCCCATCCGTGGTCTTCAGACCCTGGCTGATAACCGTCTCCATGCCGGTGCCGTCTAAGTTTGCACGCCTAAAGGTCAAAGTTAAGGGAGGGCATATATGATATTTAGTAAGAGTCTATATGGCTATAACGGCTGCTGTTTCCTGTTGGAAGGGACAAGTGGGCTTTCAATCTCTCTGTCCTAGGCACATCAACAACAAAAAAACAATCGCACTCGAGAATATCCTTAAATTGATAGCAATATAGTTCACATGTTGTTTTGATCGCACCTTATAACATCCAGGGTGACATCGGTGTAGTAAAGTTTTGCGTCCACACTGTCATAATCCAGTGAGATGACGTTGTGCAGCTCGGGCACCGGCACGTGCACGTCGGTGTGGTCGTTGGTGTCGAGGGAGATCCTGCGCACACTGACACGGTTGGAGAAAAGCAGGTAGGACTCCGGGGAGTCCTCACACGACTTGCTGTCACCTTTGAGCAGGATTCCAGTGGGACAGGCGCAGGACGTCCCGTTGGGGCGAGACAGGCACAGGTGGGTGCAGCCTCCGTTCCTCCTGCCACACTTATTAAAACCTGCAAACAGACACAAGTGCACTTAAAATAAATTGGAAATTGGAAAGACGCCTTGCCAGACAAATAGCTGTGTGCACTCACAGCTGATATTTGTTTATGTTTGAGTGTTTCCAGGCAACATATAATCACTTGTCAATCACTTGGCGAGCTACACATTCGACAATCAACAGGAGTCATATTCAGGATAATCATGCAAGGCTACCAAAAGAATTGTCGCCAAGGCAACAGAGGAAAATATAAAATGTAGAAAGTCATTTGATGAGCTACGGTTAAAGTCATGAGGTATTGACTAGGAGATAAAGATAGAAGTATGTGCAAATCAGCAGAATAAATAGGCAGGCAAGGCAAGGCAAGGCAAGGCAAGTTTATTTATATAGCACCTTTCAACACAAGGTAATTCAAAGTGCTTTACAAAAATGGAAGACATTTTAAAAATGGCATTTAAAATCAGTCATTAAAAAGGAAAGATAATAAAATAAACATTAAAAGAAAAAATACATGGATAAAAGTTAAAAGTTACAGTGCAGTTTAAGATGTGAATATTTCAATTAAAAGCAGCGGCAAAAAGAAAAGTCTTCAGCCTGGATTTAAAAGTAGTAAGAGTTGCAGCGGACCTGCAGGTTTCTGGTAGTTTGTTCCAGATATTTGGAGCATAATAACTGAATGCTGCTTTACCATGTTTAGTTCTGACTCTGGGGACAGAAAGTTGACCAGTCCCTGAAGACCTGAGGGTTCTGGATGGTTCATAATTTAGCAGTAGGTCAGACATGTATTTTGGGCCTAAACCATTCAAAGCTTTATAAACCAGCAACAATATTTTGAAATCTATTCTTTGACACACAGGAAGCCAGTGTAAAGACTTCAGAACAGGAGTGATGTGATCCACTTTCTTAGTGTTAGTGAGGACTCGAGCAGCGGCGTTCTGAATTAGCTGCAGCTTTCTAATAGATTTTTTAGTGAGGCCTGTAAAGACACCATTGCAGTAGTCGAGTCTACTGAAGATAAAAGCATGGACAAGTTTTTCCAAATCCTGCTGTGACATTAGTCCTTTAATCCTAGATATGTTCTTTAGGTGATAGTAGGCTGATTTAGTAACTGTTTTAATGTGACTGTTGAAACTCAGGTCAGAGTCCATGACTACACCTAGATTTCTGGCTTTATCTGTTGTTTTGAACATTGCAGACTGAAGCTCAGCGCTAACTTTTATACGTTCTGCCTTGGCTCCAAAAACCATTACCTCAGTTTTATCTTTGTTTAATTGGAGAAAGTTCTGACACATCCAGTCATTGATTTGTTCAATGCACTTACTCAGTGTTTGAATTGGAGCATAATCTCCTGGTGAAATTGTTACGTAAATTTGTGTGTCATCCGCATAGCTATGGTAACTTATTTTGTTGTTTTTCATTATCTGAGCCAGTGGTAGCATGTAGATGTTAAAGAGAAGAGGCCCCAAGATGGAGCCTTGAGGTACCCCACATGTCATATTTGTCAACTCAGATGTGTATTTACCTATAGAAATAAAGTTTTTTCTGTCCTTTAAGTAGGACTCAAACCAATTTAGAACTGTTGCCGAAAGTCCCACCCAGTTTTCTAGTCGGTCTAGTAATATGTTGTGGTCAACAGTGTCAAATGCAGCACTGAGATCTAATAATACTAACACTGAAGTTCTGCCACTGTCTGTGTTTAAGTGGATGTCATTGAAGACCTTTACAAGAGCAGTCTCAGTGCTGTGGTTTGGACGAAATCCTGACTGGAACACATCCAAACAGTTATTTAAATGCAAGAAGTTACTCAACTGTTGAAATACTACTTTTTCAATGATTTTACCTAGAAATGGCAGGTTTGATATTGGCCTGTAATTGTTCATTACTGAGGCATCTAGATTATTCTTTTTTAAGAGCGGTTTAATGACTGCAGTTTTCAGGGCCTCTGGAAAAATACCTGAGTGAAGAGATGTGTTTACTATATGAAGTAGATCTGAGGCCATGCAAGGAAAAACATCTTTGAAAAATCCTGTTGGAATAATATCAAGGCAGCAGGAGGAGGATTTCAGAAGTTGAATAATGTCCTCTAAGTTTTTACCATTAATCTGATGGAATTGTGTCATGGTGTTTGAATTGATATTAGGTGGACATAGGGACAAAACATTTGCTGTACCTGATGTAGAGGCACTGACTGCTTGTCTAATTTTCTGAATTTTGTCAGTGAAGAAGGAGGCAAAATCATTGCACGCCCTGGTGGATAGAAATTCAGAGGCTACTGACACTGGGGGGTTAGTTAGTCTGTCGACGGTAGCAAACAAGGCACGTGCGTTGTTTTTGTTTTTGGTAATGATGTCAGAGAAGAAAGACTGTCGTGCGTTTTTCAATTCCAAATTATAAAGGCCAAGTCTCTCTTTATAGATTTCAAAGTGAACCTGGAGATTTGTTTTTCGCCACCTACGTTCAGCTTTTCGACACTCTCTTTTTTCTGTTCTCACGGTCATGGCCTTTCTCCATGGAGATATTTTCTTGCTAATCACTTCCTTTACCTTAGTTGGAGCAATGGTATCTATAACATTTTTAATTTTTGAATTAAAATGATCTACTAGCTCATTTACTGAGATGTTAGCAGGGGCAAGTGTGGATGAGAAATTATGAGTAAACATTTCCCTAGTATTTTCAGTTAAATATCGCTTTGTGGTTACCTCTTTCTGAACATTTTTGTGAACAGAAATAGAGCTCTCAAAGAAAACACAGGAATGATCAGAGAGTGCAACATCAGTCACCACAACCTTTGAGATATTCAGACCCTTTGAGATAATTAAGTCCAGAGTGTGCCCCTTATTGTGCGTGGGCTCCGCCACATGCTGAGTCAGTCCATAGTTATCAAGAACACAAAACAGTTCTTTAGCCCCTCTGTCCTGGGGGTTGTCAACATGGATGTTAAAATCACCAATAATGACTAAACGGTCAAAGTCAATACACACTATAGACAGCAGTTCAGTAAAATCATCAAAAAAGCTTGCACAGTATTTGGGTGGTCTATAGATATTTAGGAACAGAGCTCGAGAGGAGCATTTCAGCTGAAGGGCCACATATTCAAAAGAAGCAAAGTCCCCATAAGATGTCTTCCTGCATTGAATGGAATCATTGAACAAAATAGCAACTCCACCCCCTTTCTTATGCATTCTTTCCTGACTCATAAAACTAAAGTTGGGAGGGGTTGATTCGATAAGAACAGCTGCACTGTTATTTTGTTCAATCCAAGTTTCCGTTAAAAACATAAAATCGAGATTGTGCTCAGTGATAAAATCATTGATTAAAAATGTTTTTCCTGCCAAAGACCTGACATTTAATAAAGCTAGTTTAAGTTTGTTAAATACACTATCAGTAAAACATTTTGTGACAAGCTGTGGCTGACATGGAATCACTGCTAAATTTTATAACCTCACACAAACGTTTGAGCACTTCCTGTTTCTAAGATGATTTACCGCTCTTAATCTATTACCTATCAACACAGATATCGGCAAAGCTACTGGCAGGCAGGGCCCCGGCATGTGCTGGAAAGAGTTGAGAGTGCCATATGCCCTTGAACCTGGACCCAGCACATATCAGTAAAAGTTTGTTGCGTTTTGTACACACACATCCTTATCAGGCTTCGGAGACTGCAGATGCTTTCTTGAAGGGATGGGAGGTGGTTGACATAGGCACAGTGATGAAGACGGGGGAGATGGTGCGCGTCTCTGCTTCGGTGATTTTGGTGGGCGTCGTTGAGGGGCGGGGGTAAAGGACATGCTGCCAACCCTGCATCTCGCCTTCATGCGGTCATCGAACTCCAGGGGGGAGGGCGAGGGTGAAAGGGTGAGCGGAGAGTAGAGAGAGCTGGGAGATGAATGAAGAGTATCCTCCAAGGCGTTGACAGGGGGGGTGACGGGCAGTGGAGACTCCTCCATTTGTGTCATAAGTCTCCCATAATCAGAACATTCCTCAGGCGGGTGCAGTGATACCTCTTCAGGGTTTTCTGCGCAATGTGTTGTGTCTTTCTCCTGTTTTGATTCCTCTTGCCGCTTGTCCTTGGCAGAGGGAACAGATTGCTGACGCAGGCAGTTGAATATGTTGGAGATAAACAATTTCACTCCTGACTTGTTCAGGCAAACTCCATCTGCCTTAAAAAGATGTCTGCGATCCCAGAAAAAGTTAAAATTGTCAATAAAATGGACAGAATGGTCAGTGCAGGCAGCTGAAAGCCACATGTTCAATGCAAACAGTCTGCTGAATCTCTCCACTCCTCTTCTGACTGGCGGTAGAGGGCCACTGATGAACACCTCCGCATTTAGAGAGCTGACAGTTTCCAACAGACATTTAAAGTCTTCTTTCAGCGCTTCTGACTGTTGTTTCACAACATCATTTGTTCCAATATGTAGTACCACATTCTTCACAGTCGGATGTTCAACCCCAATATGCAGGATCTTCTCAGCCAAGTCGGAGACCATATCCTTGGGAAAACAGAGTACTTTGGTGTTGTTCTTACTACACAGACCTTTTACATCTCTTACAGCAGAATCACCCACAATCAGAGTTTCAGGCCCAGCCGTTAGCTTTCCCTGTAGCCTTTTACTTTTGGAGTAGCTATTGGTCCTTACCCTGCTGTGTGAAGAGGACGGGTTATCCAGGTCATCAGAAAGAGATCTCCGGTTCTCGGTCAGCGGAGCGTATCTGTTCTGGATTGGCACACTTGGTGGTTTAGGAGGATTGTTTGTAGTTCTTCCTTTAGCAGCTGTCCACGGCTGTTTCCTAGTATGAATAGGGGTTGAAGAGGCACTCTTCCTGGGTGATAACAATGCAGGCCAGCCGGTCGCATCACAGATTTCAGAGCGCTGGGCTCTGCCTGTTATTCGTCCTCCCAAATCCCATGGAAATGATTTACTCTTAGGCTTTGCACCCAGAGAGTTCCAGGGAGGACTACCACTTGTAGATTTATTACCCAGTACACAGCCCTCCTGTTCCTTGGAAACCTTGTAGCTGCTAACTAGCTGTGAGTTAGCATACCCTTTTCCATTATCTTGCAACACTGGTAAAGTGGTGTTATTCCCACAACATAGTCCATTCACTTCCACGTTAACTTCCAACCGTTGCATTTTCATTTCCAACACAGCCATCTTCTGTTGAAGTTTGTGGAAGTCATCTGTAGAGAACGGAGGCATTTTGCTATCAACTAGCTTAAGCTAAATAGCATGCAGTAGCCTACCAGGCTTTAGCTGTTGCTAGGCCACGCTACTGTAAGACTGAGGTCGTCGTAAAAATGTTGAAATATGGCTGAAACCCTCCGTCTATTTACGATGAATAACTGTCCCAGTGATAAGTTAATGTCCAGGAGCCGCTGCTCGAAGTTTTCAGAGAATAAGAATAGGAAAATCAGCATAAAAAGTAAGCAGAGGCAAGAGCAAGCAGAAAAGCGTCTGCACTGTAAGAAAGCACTGTAAGAAACTAGATGAAATAGATGAAAACTCAGGCAGCAGGGCTATTTCAACTGTACCAGTAACACAGCACACTAAAAACCTTGTTTAAGTTCAACTGAACTATAAACAAATTGCTGTTTAGTCTATATTCCATTTTTTCCGTACAGCATCTATCGTGTATGTTCCTCAGACTCACCCAGAGGCCTCTCCCTGTCCACAGCCTGGATGTCCATCAGGCCCGGCAGGTTGGCCTGCACGGTGATGGTGTTGGTCCCTGTGTTCTTGTCGGCTCTCTGGATGCTGCGGCTCTGCCAGTCGGTCCAGTAGATGTGAGAGCCCAGCAGGGTCAAACCGTACGGGTGCTGGACCGGGGTGATCAGGGTGTGGCGGTTCTGCCCGTTCAGGTCGGCTGCCTCGATGCGCTGCAGAGGACCAGAGAGAGGAGAGGGTTACCACCATGACTCCATAACGGCTGGTGCCTTTTGTCTTAACGCACTGAAATTAAGCCAATTAGCATTTCACTTTTTAGTCATCTTTAAGTATGATGTGAGTGTCATTTTTGGTCCTCTTTAAGAATTTAATAGCTATTTCTTCAGTTGACTAAAATGTTTTCCTACAGCATGCGTGACTGTCATGATGCTGTTTTTTTCAGTTAAATAGTGCTTAATATGTTTTAAAGGTCCCCTATTATACTGTTTTTCATCAATATATTATAGGTCTCAGATATATACAAACTATGTCTCTGAAGTGTTTGGCTCGAAATACCAAACAGATCATTGCAGCATCCCATAATCCCCTCTGTTTCAGCCCTGTTTCAAAAGTGCTGATTCTCTGTCTGTTACTTTAGATGAAAATAAGGAGCCACTCCCCACGCCCCTCTGAGAGATATTTGGTTAAAAATAACACAATGGTGCTCTAGGAGGAGATGCAGGTGATAAGGGGTGTGGGGGGGGTTACCTTGGTTGGTGATTGGCTAATGGTTACACAAGCCAAAAAAACGTTATGACATCATAAAGTGGTCAAAATCTGATCAGCTCATTTTCAGACAGGTTTTTATATAAATGGATCAGGACAAAAAGAGAGCAAATCTTTTTTCCTGAAACTTTCAGAATCTCTTTACACAGAGGGGACACATGTTTATGTATAAAATTCATGAAAAAGTGGATTTTGCATAATAGGTGACCTTTAAACAAAAACGATCAGAGTTCCTTCGATCAGAGTGACTGGCAACCAGTGTGTTTAGTTAAAGTAGATCCATCAATATAGAAAACACATAGACAAAGGCTTTTCATCTTGTAACAATATATGTTTTAAGAGCTGATAATCAATGTGAGGGGTCGTTAGGGTCACAGCTGCTGACCTCAGTGTGAGCGTCGGCCCACAGAAGCTGGGAGCCGGCCGTGTCGATGGCCAGGCCGTTGGGCCAGCCCAGGTTGTTGCTGATGAGGACAGTGCGGTCGGAACCATCCATCCCAGAGCGCTCCAGCTTAGCATGCTCTCCCCAGTCTGTCCAGTACATATACCTGTCAGAGAGAGAGAGTGAAAGAGTGATTACAGATGGAGAACACCATTTCATGTTAAGTAAGCACATACTGTACTAGAAATTGTTCTTGGTGTCAGATGCATACAATAAACATAATAAAAGCAAGTAATGTACTTCACTTGAGGTGCTCTACTTTAGCATTTGTTTAATGATCATTTATAATTATAATTCACTACATTTCAGAGGTAAATATTGAATTTCTTAGTATGTCTGTCTACAACTTTAGTTTTGTATCACCTTTCTTTTCAGTGAAAACGAGGTATCTCCAGATGTGTTGATTTAGGGTGTAAACTGGATGATAAAGTGTTCCCTTAGGTGGTAATAAATTGCTCCTTCATCTCAAGATAAATAAACAATTTGAAAACCTCTTGAATCTGCTGAAAAATGCATTGTTGTTGCAAAAAGTGCTGTTTTATTGAGCCAATTAAAAAGATGACTTTTTAGCGTAATATGCTTCTCACAGGACAGCAAGGGTTTGTGTTATATCCATATCTTTTAGACATGATGAATGGAAGTAGATGAAACTACCCATCTGAATACAAAGAAGTTAAAAATGAATTAAAAAAAAGAACTCATTAACAGCAGTAAAAAGCAACATTCACACCAATGAAGCAGTACTATTAATCTAAAAACAGTGCATATAGTAGTAAAATTGACAGGAAGCATTTTACTGCCTGACTACTTTACATTTTCATACTTAGATTCATACTTTTACTAAGGTCATGTTTTGAATGCCAGACTTTTAACAGTTTTCACAGTGTGGTATAAGAACTTGGATGAAAATTCAGGACTGCTATCAGAGATTTCCCCCAATTCTCCTCATCACGCTCTATCATCCTCACCCCATCTCATTGTAGAGGGCGATGGCTCGAGGGCTATCCAGGTTTTCCCAGACGAGAACTTTCCTCATGGAGCCATCCAGGTTGGCGACCTCGATGCGGTTAGTTCCTGTGTCCGTCCAGTAGATCTTCCTCCCAATAGCATCCACCGCCAGGCCATCGGTGGTCACCAACCCTACGTAAAGAGAGACACAGAGAGAGGAGTTAGAGTCGTCATAGGGCGGAGTTAAACCCCCTCGTACATGTAAGCCAACCCCCTCACCTGTGGATACGATGTCCTCTTGTGATTTTCCGTTGATGTAGGATCTGCTGATTTTCTTCAGTGTGCTGTCAGACCAATACACTTTTCCTGCAGGAGGCGCCACACACACATGTAAGAATTTCCATTTCTATATCCCTTGCTTTTCGTTTAAAGGGGACCTATCATGCTAAATGCACTTTTTGATGTCTTTTATACGTACTTTTTTTTTTTATACTTTTATATGTGTCTTTTAAAATAAAACCCTCTCTCTTTTCCTCCGTGTGCAAATCTCTAAAAACGGGGGTACAACGGAGCTGATCCAAATTTGCCATCCGATATGACGTAAATTACATCATATCGGATGGTGGACCCACAGCACTATCAGAAACGTCGCTGTATCAGAAACAATTCCCGACGTGTTTTGGACGTAATAGTCTTTGTTTACATTATCAGGCATCGCTAACACTCAGAGCTAAGCTGTACTGGAGAGAGCATGTGTAAGAAGCAGGATATAAAAAGGAACTCACCTTGTGGTAAACCCGCAAGAGAGAAAGCCTTTGAGCTCCATACTGTTTCAGAAATAATCCTTGATCTAATAATCCTTAATCTAATAATCCTTGCGTTTCATCACCGCAGCATTTTAGACAGTATCTGCCAGGTCCTGCATGAGCCGGCATAAGCTCCGCCCCCTCTTATTTTTTTCAGTAAAAAAAAAAAGAAGAAGCTTTATACCCAGAATCAGCACTTTTGTAACAGGAAGAGAAATAGAGGGATATGAGGCATGGCTAGAATGGGTGATCTGTTTTTTTTTTTTACCAAAACACTTCATAGACATGTTTTTTATATTTTTTTATATATCTGAGACCTATGCTATTGCCTAAAAATAGCATGATAGGTGACCTTTAAACAAGCGTTTCTAAGCGTATTGAAGCAAACCTTCTTTGGGGTCGACCCCGATGGCGATGGTGTTTTTCATGGAGCTATTGACGGCCAGGACCACATCAGCAAAGTAGGGGATGTCCAAAGAGACCATCCTGATGTCTGTCCTCCGGGCAAAGATCAGGAAGCTGCTCATCCCTGTGCACACACACACACACACCATATTTCAACACACATCACAGCACCTTTCCGTCAGAGTACAAAGGTGGGCTGACATGATTTTATCTCTATGTAAGACAAACATTTTGACATTTTGAACTTTTGATCTCCTATTTGCAGGCTTAGTCAAGGGTTTTTGTCGCTTTCATTGTATTTCCTTTTAAGTATTTGCTTTTGAGATTCATATATTTTGGGACTTTGCACTACATCTCCCTTTATGCCTTTGCTCATGCAGACAAATGTTGCCTAGGAGCTCAATAAGTTACAGTAGATGTAAGCCAAACATATACAAGTCATATAATAAGGTATTTGCATTGTGGCCAGCGCCATTAAAAGCATTAACATGATTAACAAGTTGGTATTGTTTACACTGAAAACATGGATGAACAGAGAACAATAACTGCATTATTTTTGACACTGAAGTGGGAGTTTGTACCAGGCGTGCAAGTCTTTCCATCCGTCTGCAGGTTGATGCCGGTGGGACAGGCACAGCTGGAGGCTTTGGGAGCAGGGGCCAGGAGACAGAGGTGGCTGCAGCCTCCATTATTCTCCGCACACGGGTTACGAACTATAGGTGGAGACACACAAAGCAACTCAGCTCATCCACCATCCTACTTTCTAGGCTAGCTTCAAGGCAAGGAATGGATAGGGGATGGGGAAGGTTGGGGAAACAAAACAGAAAAACAAAGCTTCCCTGAAGGGAACTTGGGGAAAGCCCCACACATGAGATGGATGAGATCAGTGAGGTTTCAGTTTGGTATGTGCCCCCCGAGGCTCTCTGCCAGTGATCTGGGTTCAGTTTACCTGTAATCCCCTCACTGTCAGCAGAGACACAGGATCTGAGCTCGGAGGAAAGGCGGCAAAAAACTGAAAAGTAGAAAGTGACAGGAGGCTTTTTTCCCTTTGTCACAAGAGACTACACATGTCCGACAGGAATGTATGTCCCTGCTATTGCTGCACATTGGATTTGAAATGGAATAATGACTATGAGTTTTAGGTAAGTGTGAAGAAAGGCTGAAACTAGCTATTTGCCGATTATATTCTCGATGAATCAATTCATCTTTTGTCTATAAAATGTCAGAAAATTGTCTTTTTTTTTGGTATTTTCTCAAAGACTAAGGTTTAATTTAAGTAATTGTGTTGTCACTCCAAACCCTAAAGATATTTATTTTCATATTAAACAGAGAAAAGCTGAATTTGAGAGGCTTTAAACTGCAGTTTTTTGTTTCTCCTTCTTTCCTTGAGGCTCTTTTGCGAAGTCTGGTCAAATAACTGTAATTAGCTAGTATAAATGGCTAGCGCTTCTACACTGTTTATTTGATGTGCATCTAAACATCCTGAAATTACAGCTGGAGAGTTCCAATTTTCATTGTTTCATTCTTTTTAATCTAATTTAATCTAAAGGGTTGCAGCACAGACCCAAAACAATTAAAGTTTTTATTATTTTCCTGATGCTAGCTGACAGTGCTTCAGTCTTGTTCCAGCACGTGGATGAACACAGACCTGTCTCTCGGTGTCTGTGGAACATGTGGATGTCCATGAGGTTCTCCAGGTTTTCTGCGAGCGTGTGTCTTCCCAATCCGGTGAGCTTGTCCGCGCTCTGGATGCTCTTTGACTGCCAGTCCGTCCAGTACAGCTTGTCCTCGTGCACAGTGAGGCCGAAAGGGTGGGGCAGCTGGCTGCCAATCAAAACCTGTGGGCAAATAATAGAAAGTAAACCTCTCTAAACATCTGTGTATAGTTTGATTCTGAACACAAACTTGAAAGCCAATCCCACCAAGGATAAACAATTCTTCAAAACAAAATACTTTCTAAAATGTCATGTAAAATACTTTAAATTGAACACTATTTAAAATGTTAATTTTACAGACTTTCTCAGACAAATCAGCATGAAGATATTGATTTGATGGGAATAAAGATAACTTTATATTGTCATATCAACACCCGTTACCTGTCGATCGGAACCATCAAAGTTGCCAAATTCAATGGTCTTCATGCCAGCGTCGGCCCAGTACAGGCGTTGTGTCTCGTAGTCGATGGCGAGCCCGTTGGGCCACGTCAGATTAGACGAGATGATGACGGTCCGATTAGAGGCGTCCATTCCTGCACGCTCGATCTTTGGGTTGGCCCCCCAGTCGGTCCAGTACATGAAACTACGTTGAAATAATAACACCAGTAAGACAAATATTGCCACGCGAAGGTGAGGTTTTTATGTTTCAACTTTCGTCTTCTCACCCTCCAATCGGGTCGACGACGATATCCCTGGGCCGGTCCAGGTTCTCCCATATCAACACAGTCCGCATGCTCCCATCTGCGTTAGACACCTCAATACGATCCGTACCTGAGAATCCCAATATGTTATAAATGGTTGAAATCCAAGAGCACCCACCGCTATGTGCAATCATTTATTTTTATAAATCAGAAATATGTTTTAAGGTGAAACGTGAACAATGTGAAATGATGTTGCTTACCTGCATCGGTCCAGTAGAGCTTGTGGGTCACCCAGTCAATTGCCAAACCTGCTGGGCTCTCCAGACTGGTGTCCACCACCACCTGGAGAAACAGGGACAACAAAGTTTTAATATAAACTCTACTACATTACTGTTGCACTTTCCCATTAGCACTAGTAGATGGCAGTATTGCATAATATTATATCCTGCTGCTGCCCTCTCCTAAATTGAGGACATATGAGAAATGATGGGATTAATTCAGACTGCAGAGGACACTGACCTCCTGCTTGGTGCCGTTCCACAGTGCTCTGTTGATGGAGTCTGTGGTGACGTCCGTCCAGTAGATGTAGCCGTCTTTGGCGTCCCAGTCCAGAGCCACGGCATTACGCACGTCAGCCAGAGGGATGACATCATCGGACATGTCCTCTGTATCAAAGCTGATTCGTCGGATGTCCGTCCTTCGGGCAAAAAGCAGGAACTTGTCAAGACCTGATTAAAGACCAAAGGTCTTCTGTCAGTCTCTAGGTTTAACAGTGGGGTCAACAGTAAACACAGCATAACAATACACACATTCAACAAGCAGCTCAAACACACTCACTGATAAACATCGTAACTGATAACCCTCGTCCTCTAACATGATTATATTATACATTATTATGATGGTAAAATGTAGATGTTTTTTATGACTACACGTATTCTATTTAAAGTGCTGCAAATGTCACAGGGTAATGAACCAACTAAAGAAAAGGATTCATTAAAAACTATTCAAACAAATTAAATTGTTGTTCAGGAATTCTTTAGCGGCGCTGAATCGTAACATGATGTAATTTAACTTTCCATCAGATACAATGTCACTTCAGTGGATGTCTTATAATCCTCTGCATGCACATTTCATTCTCAAAAACACTTTCTGACTGTCTAGCTGAAAATGTTTCTTTAACTTTTTTTGTACTTTTTATGAGTATTATGATGCATTAAATAACAAGTGTTAGCTGACTACACTTGCCGTTGTTGGCATTAATTGCTTTGTGAATAAATAGATATGCAACATTCACTCAAATATGACATATTGTTAACATCCAGATGGTGAGGGACTCACCGCTTGCACAGTTGGAGTGGTCCACCTTCTTGAAGCCGGTGGGACAGGCGCAGGTGTGGGTCTTGTTGCTGGGGAGACACAGGTGGCTGCAACCCCCGTTGTTGGTGCCACAGCGGTTCCTGCCACCTGCAGGAGAGACAGAGACACAGCTCAGTATGTGATGCTCTATGTGGTTAGACACTTTTAGAAGAGACTATTTTATACACTCTGTTGGTCCACCAAAATGTCCCTACTCTTTGGCTGCCTGATTTCTCTACATAGAGGTCAAGTGTGTGGGTTAAAAGGTGTGTGTTTGTGTTAATGCCACATATTTTTAGACTCTTGTGAGTATTATTGGCTTCAGCAAAGAGTTCTTCTTCATCGGTGTAGGTTAGCCGAGCTCCCTGTTCTTAAGCCATGCCCTCTTTTAATAACTCATTAACCATTTATTGTAGACTTATGTATTAGGCATCATTGTGTGGGTGTGTGTGTGTGTGTGTGTGTCTCAGCTGTTGCAAAATTATTTATAATATAATATTTTGGTGGCCAATCTGGGACTTTGGTTGCATGTCAGGCCTTCTCACTCTCGATGTTGAATGTCTGCTTCTCTCATGTTTTTTTCCATTTAAACAGACAGCAGAGCTTGAGTTTTTTGTTTCTTCCAAAGTAAATCAGTCACAGTGTGTGTCTGGATTTCACTCGTGATCTGAATTGTACACTTGATGAAGAGTTATAATCTATTCCACTTGCACATGAGCTCACATGACTCACTGAATCTACAGCGAAACAAAAGGACTGACCTCCCTCTGCCATCGTAGCTCTCTGTTTAGTGTCTAGCTGTTATAAAACCTTATCAGCATGATTATCAACATTTTCTCTTGGCCAGAACTCAAGTTCAACATGGTTTGTTAGCAGAGAACACAAGTTTTGCCATCATGCTGATAAAACACCTCAACAGGCCAGTTACCCACAGGGTGTTACACAAGTGCAACAAATCATTCCGTCAGCGCTGGGCTTGCCACCATATGGGAAAAGTTTTCACTTCTGTGTTCAATAAAGGTTCCAGTTTTTCACGTCTGTCTTCATTGAGCTCATCCACCACCCTTTGAAATCTGTTTCGTTGCTCAGCATTTTGGCCTCCAGCCTGCTGCATGGCAACATTTTTTACTGCTTTAGTCTGCAAACTTCATACAAAAGCAGATCAATTGTTTTTACCCATAACTCACAAAAAAACCCTATACCATCTCAGACAGAATTCACACGATGATGGACACTATTTTCTTTCTTTTTTTTTGTCAACTCCAGCTGAAATGATTTATTTCTCCCTCTACATCCTTCCTACTGTAAGGTATTTTATTGTCAGTGCTTTTACTGTATGTTACCTACAAAAAAGGGCAGGCATTACAATGTATGGCTGGGTGATTAGAAGTTATTTAATATCACAATATGCTTTGATCAGAAAATATATAAATACCTTTGTATCAATATTGCGACAATACTGAAGGGATGAATATTTACGCAATGAGATTGATAAATAATCATCAGCAATGTGGATATAATGACTATGTGGGCAATGGCAAATAATAAAACATCTAGAAAAGTCTGGTATGTTTACATTTACAGTATGCAATATTGCAATATCGACAAATAATGTTGCGTTTTTGCATATTACTGCAAAACCTAAATAAAAGGATTAGCAATGTTGACTTTTGCCATTTCATGGTGCTGTTCGTAGAAAGAGGAAAACATATTGAATCCTTCTGTGTGATGCGATTGATAGACCTGATTCAAGTGGCAGCTTTGTGACCTTGCTATTATTCAACAACAATGGCAGAAAATATATGTTCATGCATGTTCATGACAGTACTAGCCTTTGATGAAACATAATATAAAAAACACACTTTATCTAACTCCCTTCTTTCCTCTTATCCTCGCATAGATCCTTGCTGCTATCACTCAGATTTGATGGATAATTTTACAAACTTTAAAATCAAGTTGGCCTCCAGCATGACTGAGTACTGACCTGCAGGCTGCCTCTGGGGGTGCAGGGTGTGGATGTCCATGGGAAAGTGCAGCTTGTTGCGAATGATCTCCTGGTTCTTGCCGGTGAATTTATTGGCACTGTTGATGCTTTTGGTGTGCCAGTCTGTCCAGTATAGGCTGTCCTCAAACACAGTGATGGCAAACGGATGGGGCAGGCCTAGAAACACAGATAGAGAAAAGAGATGCTCGATGGTGTGTGCGATAGAACAACAAAAAGGCATCTTTCAGGAACAATGAGCAGTAGTGATAAAACACAGGCGCTAAGTCTGGCATCATCATGGAGTAATGATTCTGTGAGTTTCATGTGGAAGTTTAAATCCAAACACACAGAAAAAAATGGAAAGAACAACCACTGCATTTGGCTTGTTCCACCAATGCTCTCCAAACATCCTCCCTTTCAGTGCTGCAGGCTTAGCTGATGTCATAACGTCTCCATTTAGAGCTGCTTTCAATTACCCTGCCTTTCATTGGGCTATAGCTGGTTTAGTTGTGGTCAGAGCGGCCAAAAGCAGAGATTCTCCATAAGGATACTCAAGTAATGTGACTTTTCCATGCAGGATCTGAAAGCCAGATTGAGAACAGTCTTTAAGAGCGTTGGGCTGGTGCAAGAGACAAGAGTGGTTGGATATGTACCTCTCTTAGTCAAAACAATATTTTATTTACTTTGTAGCTTTGAATAATTTAAATAGGAGATTGTAATCTGATGGACAGTTATATATCCCAGTCTTTTCACTTACAAGCTAACAGTGTTTGATGTATCCTAACCATAACAATCTCCCAAGTTGAGATTTATTGGAGAGTTTAATTGTTTGTTGATGGTCTAAATGCTTTTTAAGAGAATTCTTTAGCTAGTAAAGAAATACTTTTGTGCAACAACAATACATTTGTATTGGCCTTCTTGTCTTAAAACATGTTTTTCCCACTATATATTAAACACAGCATGTCTCTTGAACAATAGCGACTAAATGAGCAATGATCACAGTTAAAGATGGATGGATAGCAAAAGTTGGTTATGAAAGCTTTTAAAAAGTTGGCTGCATTAGAACTGGACATCAAGGCTTTGAGTCCTTTATATTTTAACAAGTTGTTGACATCCAGTCAGTGGAAGCCATGCCTAAACAGTACAGGGAACTCCTCGCAGATTTGTCTCTATTGGGAACATCTGCTCAGGGTGACGTTCTCTTTCTCTCTCCAGCTTAATCATCCTCCGGTGAAGTATCTGTGCAACCAGTTGGATGTGAGTGCCAAATGGATGGAAAAAGTGATTCCTGCTTCTGCTACACTGAGCCGTGGTGGAGTGGCAAGTATGTTGGCCCAGGGCTTTTAAAAACAGCGCTGCTCATTTAATGACAGTGTTTAACAGCAAGGCATAAATGTCAAGTGGTAAATGGCTAAAACTGGAGAAAAGACAGATGAATAAGGAACCACGAGGATTAGAGTAATTGTGTGTATACTTGAGCTAAAATTCTATGAAACTAAAGTTTTATCCTTTTAATCTAGGAATGTCTTCTGTTTAATTCCCCTTTGGTTTGCACCTTCATTAGTGTAGATGAAAAAAATTATGTAATATATCTCAGTTTGTCTCCAGAAAAAGTTTGCTATACTCTGTTATTGTAGTTATTGTATCTTATCTTTGGTGCAGCAGTAAAAGCATGTGTTGGCTGCAGCACAAACATGCCAACGATTTGTTGAAACTGTTTGCCTGTATACATTTTTTCCACCAAAGTTCACAGACTAGTTTAATTTCTTAACTCTTAAATATTGCGCCTAGTACATATTTTAGTCATATATTTTTAAATAATTACTTGCTATGGCTCAATCCGATGTTTTAAAAAGTGGATGTCACAGACTTTTGGAGGACATACATTTTGATTTTGTAGGACAAGCGAAGTTGAGAAGAACGGGGACATAGAACAAAGAAAATCAAAATAACAACATATGAAACTAGATTTGTACAGGTATTGTAGATATATTATTAATATAACGTGTTTTTCATTTCCTGTGTATTTTGACCTTAAAAACTATAACTGTTAACTGCATTTCCCATGTTTACTGGCATGACAAAGCATAAATGTACAAATAACTGGTATTCCTTTCATAAAGTCAGCATAGGGAGTGAAAGCTCAACTTTATCATTAAACACTAAAAGGTGAACAAAAATGTGCTGATGTCTGGAGTAGGGACGGAATAGTTTGAACATTTGCTGCTGAAATAATAGAGGTTGGTAATAATAATAATAATAATAATACATTATATTTATATAGCGCTTTTCTACAACTCAAAGACGCTCTACAGTATGAGGAAGGGTAGACAAACAAGGACAGGCAAACAAATGAATATAGTAAAATAAAATAAACAGAAAAGGCAGTCAAGAGGAAGTTGATTGAGAGGGGGGGGGGCTTATGGGTAGACAGAGTTGAAAAGATGTGTTTTGAGGCGGGACTGAAAGACTGTGAGGGACTCAGAGTCACGAAGATCTTGGGGGAAGGAATTCCAGAGCCTAGGAGCTGCCACTGAGAAGGCTCTATCCCCAAAGCTGCAGAGTGTGGATGTGGGAATGGATAGCAGTCCGGCTGCGGTGGATCTGAGGGACCGTGGGGGTTGATAAGGGGTGAGAAGGTTTGTGAGATAAGGGGGGGCCAGATGGTGGAGTGCTTTGTAGGTGAAGACCAGAATTTTGTAGTTGATGCGATGGGAGACAGGAAGCCAGTGGAGGTCTTTGAGGACTGGGGTGATGTGATGCCATGATTTGGTATGCGTGAGGAGACGTGCAGCTGCATTTTGAGCCCGTTGGAGTCTGTTGAGGGATGTAGTGCTGATGCCGTAAAGAAGTGAGTTGCAGTAGTCAAGGCGGGAGGAAATGAAGGCATGGATTAGTCGTTCGGCTGCGGGGCGGGTGAGAGAGGGTCAGATTTTTGCAATATTGCGGAGGTGGAAAAATGAGGTTTTGACTGTTTGGTGAATGTAAGGTTCGAGGGAGAGGGTGGGGTCAAAGATTACGCCAAGGTTGCGTGCCTGATTGGAGGGGGAAACAATGGTGCCATCGATGGTGAGTGTTATGTTAGTGACCTTGCTGAGTGTGGATTTGGAGCCGATTAGGAGGAGTTCTGTTTTGTTGCTGTTCAGTTTGAGGAGGTTATGTTGCATCCAAGTTTTTATAGCTGTCAGACAGGAATCGATGTGGGTAACAGAGTTCCCGTTAGCCGGTAATTACCGGACTATGACTGAAGACCGGCAAATCTAAATCTCTCCGGTCAAAATGTCCGGTCAAAATAATTTCCCTTTAGCGCAATACCGAATCAGTTGCGCCACTTATGTGACAGACAAGCATAGTATGTGACAGACAAAAGAGTATGTGACAGACAAGAATAGTCAATTCTAATGTCTAACACTTAATGCGGAGAAAGAGATGTCCTGTATGGGTTGATTGTGCGTTGATCTGTTGGTAATGCCTCGGGGTTCCGGTGGGCATGTAAACAAATGCATAATGCTGCGCTATACTTTGTGGCCTCACCCGGTTGCATAGCGACGCTTATTGTTTAGGTGTCTTTTAATAAGCAGGTAGTCATATCATTAGCTAGAACTAGCTAGATCTGATCGATATGGACATAAACGCGAGTAAAGTCTAATCTGACGGGAGAAAGAGATCAGCTGCTGCTGACGAGTCGACATGCAGCTCTGCATGATCACCTGCAGCGGTGAGCGGAACAAAACACACACTTCAGGTTAGAATATCACACGTAGCTATTTTAATTACCTGTCAAACTACCTAAACTAGTTATAGATATGTTTAGTTTTACTGTCGGGTCACTCATTACTGGATCCGCGAGCTGCATGATACTGGCGGGCTGTCAGGAGAGGGAGAGAGCGCTCCGTTTATTATTCCCGTGTTATTGTATCTAAGCTCAGTCCCTCTGCGGGACGTAGCACCCGTTGCAGGATAACAGAAAATAGCATCCCAGTGCCGGACCTATCAGCCATAGATGACCCGGCGGCTACACAGCCAAAGCTCATAAAGTACCCTCAGACACTTTTTGGACAAAAGAAAAGGAGCTTCGCTGCCCAGTGGTATAACAAGTACACATTCTTGGAGCATAGCATTAGCAAGGACAGTGTGTTTCGTAAAATGTGCCGGCATTTTAGAGAGAGAGGCTGGGCCGGCGGAGAAGATACATTCAGTCGCCATGGTTACAGGGACTGGAAACAAATCGACTATGCTCTCAGTAGCCGGTAGGATGCTAGCGTTAGCACAGCGCTGGCTTTGGTTGTAGACGGCGCTGCAAGTGGAGCTGTTGTCAGCCGTCAGACAGGATGAGAGGTCATTCGCGGGCTGTCCTTTACAGCAGGAGCGGGAGGTTTAAAGAACCAGAGTCGGGACCCACGGGGAGGGGCAGGACGAAGAATGGGGCTGGTTATTTGATGGATGGAGCAGCGTTAGCAGGTGGGCTACAATGGCAGGTGTAGCAGGGTAGAAAACCAGAGCGTCCGTCAAAAGTGACAATCGGGTGTAACAAATGTGTCAGATCAGAACACAAAAGCCACAGAATAGTTAGAAAACTGTAGCAGTAGAAAATGGTCAGAAACTCTTAGATTAACACAAAGAAAGACGAGATTTTCGGACAGAGAAGCGGCGAACAGTCAACGCCAACATCCTCTCACGCCGGAATTACTATCACTAATATGTAATGTAATATACTAATATAATGGTACCAATCTCACACAACAAAACTCTTTTTTAATTTAATAAAAGAAGCCAAAGAAAGGCCAAATGTTTCCCAAAAACCAGCAGCCAATTAATTAAAAAATATATAAGATTGAGATAGTAGGTGAAAAAAAAAACAGGGAACAACTTTGATTCTTATCAGGAACGTTCCGGTTAAAGGATAATTAAATAAAGTAATTTCAAGTCATTACAAAACAAATAGCTAAAAATAATGAGACCACGTCTGTACATTTTCCCGTGTCCTTCCTCCTCAGACAGGTGTGTGTGAGGTGATACTGCCTGAATGTGTGTATTCTGATCTTATCCTAACATGAGGGCGACAACAGTGCACCCTCTTCCCTCCTGTGAGTCCTCGACATCTACGAGGCGCCTGGTTTTGATACGGTCAACTTCCTCCTTGTTGTCTCTGCACCCCCACCCCTCCTGCTCCTGTTTTCCGGGACAGCTGGAGGAGCAGCTGCGGGCCGACAGGGCATCAAACGTCCCACCAGCCTTCAGAGTAATGTCCCCTTTAACCTACATGCGGAACCACCCAGTCGATTCACGCCTCGACTGGATCTGTCACACAACACAACGTCGCCGCCAGCTGGACAGAATGCTGCTTATAGACTGATGGCCTGTAACAAAGGCAATGTTCAGTGGTCCTCCTTGATGTCTCCTTCTTGCATCACATCCTCTAACTTACTTATCTAAATGTAAAAGGCATTTTCTGGTTCGTAGAATTTTTTTTTATTAAATAACTATTATATTTATTATAATTAAAGACACTATTGTGACACTACTCACTGCTTTTTCAGGCAAGGCTGCACAATATAAAAGGCTATACTATTTACTATACAAAGTTAGAATTTAAACTGAAATTGAATATTTGCTTTAATGATATCTGCCCTTGAAAGACCTCACTCCTACAGAGCTCCACCCACTTGTCCAAATATGGTCACTTCTGGTTCCAAAAAAAAATCATATATGATGTAATGTATCATGTCAAAACTATTGATATGGTCTTATACATAAAAATAATCCCATTTTCATGTCAATATGATAAAAAGGTTCTGACTTGGTGACGCCTAGTAGCAGTTTGCATGTTATAGATATTCCAAATCCTCAAAGGATGAATCTTAATAATGGTGGTGACTCACACTGTTTCTTCGGCACCACCATAGCACACAATGTGTTTCATGTATGCAAGATATTTCCAACATATGGGTACATTGACATGGAATTTCATTCATTCATATCCCTGAAGGACCTAACCTTCTATTAGTTTTAGTTTCTCCCTTAGGGAATAATATGAGCCCTACACACGATATCTCACTGCAGTACACAGCATTTGTCCTTGAGCAGATGTACTCTATGATCATGTCCTCACACACAGGAACAAACACACACACACACAGCCCCTTCTCTTCCTGTCCCCCACCTGCACAGGTGCGCACACTGGATAGCGGCGTTATCCGCGACACCCGTCTGCCGTCCAGCTCCAATGTTAGAGGAGCTGGCACTCATCCAGCTAACACACGCACACACACATACACACACACACACACAAATACACACACAGACACAAAACTATAGGTGTAGGGAGAAAGAAACTCGTTAACATTCCTGGCCAGAGGCTCGGAACGTTACTATGCACTCACACACACACGGACAGACACACACACGTCCCATTTGTCTGGTGTGTTGTCTGAGCAAACAGAGGCTATGGAGGAAGGACAGGGCCAATTACAGCCTTTTATCCTCAGAGCACACATCATTAAGAAGAGCTCACAGGGCTGATGGCACGCACACACACACACACACAAAAGGGAAGCCACTTTTAAGGCCAAAACCTGAAAAAATATCGTACAGAGGGACATTGATCATGCCACACCTGATAAACACATCTTACTGCAACGTGGGGTCTCAGAGGGTGTGTTTGTGACAGATCAGAACTCCTAACGTCTGCCAGATCCCCACTTTTAGTGCACACACACATTGTTTGCTTCACTCTGGGAGTCGCACAGCTTTATGTTGTCATTTAAGGCATCTGTGTGCGTGTGATTTTTAATGATGATATGACATTGATTAACTCCATATGGTATAATAAAATAATGTCAGCAGGGTACATCCTATATCCGTCCCCTTGAGTGTGTACGTGTGTGTTCATTGTTGAGAATCTTAACTCCAGCCTGACTTCTGTACAACACTTCATATCCTGTTTATCTCTAGCTCTCACAAAGCTTTCAATGAAAAAGAACGAGGCACCATATAGATGTTTATATTCATCAATTCCAATTAGTATATGGCCCAAGCATGCCTTAGCTCTTATTAGATTGGAGTTGGAATACATTCATCTGATTGCGTCATTTAAATAACAAAAAATGGACTATCATTAAATGTGCAGTTTAACTTGCTTAACTGCTTCTGCAAACATAGCATTTGAAATTGTTACTTCACTAGTAAAAGTTTTCCCCGGCCAGTCATAAGTCTCTCATTGGGAAATCACCTGCAGCACCCTATAGCATTCATTGCTGTAATGTGCAATTGCATACACCTAATGTGAGTACATTGCTTTTAGGAATCAATAAGCCAACAAAAAAACGTTTTTCAGCACATCCCACTTCTATATTTCATGCAGCCTCCCCCTCACCCTGGATCTCCCTCCCCAGCCACGTCCGATCTGCCAACACTCTCACGTCATTCAAATAATCCCTCAAAACTCACCTTTTCCCTCTTGCCTTCAACTTCTAATCCACTAACCCCTCGCCCTTATTCCACCTAATTTAGCAGTTTTTACTTTTGTTGTCGTTTTTCTTCTTTAGTTGCTTGTAATGCACCTTGAGCACCAGGAAAAGCGCTATATAAATGACATGTATTATTATTATTATAATATTTAACAAACTCCAATTCTGAATATGTTCTTGGCAAAAGTGAGAGATAACAGACGGAGTGTACCTTGGCTGATGACGGCCTTGCGGTTGCGTCCGTCCAGGTCGGCCCTCTCGATGACGTGGTGCTTTGCGTCCACCCAGTACATGCGGTGGCCGGCGTAGTCGATGGTGAGGCCGTTGGGCCAGAACAGATGTGTGTCTGCGATGACCCGCCTGTTGGAGCCGTCCATGTTGGAGTACTCAATGCGAGGTGTGTTGCCCCAGTCTGTCCAGTAGATCTTACTGCAGGGGAAAGTGGGACAGTCATGATTAGTTTGCTGTTTTGTTTACTTGCTGGCAAGAGGTAAGCAGATTGCTGTCAGGAATCAAGACACAACACTTGTCAAATATAATAAAAAGTCTCCTCTGTCCACGACATTCATGTCCTCTTCATCATCACTCATCGGCTCCGACCGGCCTTAGAGAAAAGAGCAATCTTTTTTTTTGTGGATATTTTTCAATTATCTCATGCAAATGAGCTGAATTCGTTTTTTCTAGCCTAAAATGTATCTTGGGCTTCATCATAAACTCCATCCTGCCACTTCAGCACATGAAACTGGGGATAAACCCATTTAGCTGCTGCCCCTTTCATGAAGTACTTGTTCCACACAGATGTACGTCTGTGGGCAGTGCTGTGCTGCCAAACCTTAATCCCCGCTCCGCTGCTGCACAACAACTGGGACACATCCAGAGGGGATATGTATAGATGGAAGAGTGTGCATTTGATGCCATCTGTAGTGAATCATACGTCTTATGTGTGTGTGTGTTTGGACTCGTACCCCTCTATGGGGTGCAGCGCAATGGCTCGGGGCTTCTCCATGTTCTGCCACAGCATCACTTTGCGGTGCGTCCCGTCCAGGTTGGCCACTTCGATACGGGACGTCCCCGAGTCTGTCCAGTACAACTTGTCATGGATCCAGTCTATGGCTAGTCCACCTAAAAGGAGACAAAGCACAATTAAGAATTTGTCTGACCATACTTGAGTTTTAAAACTTTGGTTTTGTATTCCTTTTAAATGATTATTCATGAATATCTGAAAAACATACAACACAATGACTCTAGGGGGGTTGGTAGTTTAAGTTTTTGTTTCTCCTTCGGACAGAGCGGAGCTAGCCTTAACCTTTTTTTCAAACCCTCATGCTAAATTAAAGGTAGGGTAGGTAAGAATGGAGAAACCAGCTGGAGTGCGCTAGAATTTGAAAGTACACAACCGGAAAAAATCTGCCCCTTCCTTCAGACTTCCTTACAGAGCCCCTCCTCCAACACACACGAACGCGCACATGACCAATGGGGGCACGAGATACGTTTGTGCACAGATGGAAGGCTGACAGGCAGGTAGGCCATCCAGTTATTTTAGCCGGGCCGGCTCAGATGATTGGTCGTGCTTTTTACAGTACTACGGCTTCCACAGATGAAAATGTTTATGTATTTATTGTCAAAGCATTTAATATATTCATTGCTATCGGGATGTTAAGAGCATTCCATGGAATATAACAAAAAGTGTTTCTGAAGTGAATTACCTACCCCACCTTTAAGCTTAATAAGAAAACTCCAGCCCAATGTTGAACACACAGACATGACATTTATACTGATAAATAAAACCTGTTAATGTCATCTTTAAATAGGTGTTTCATTATCTGATCCATATATCCCAATATTGTATTTAATTATTGTTTGTACAATTAAATTCTGCCCTTCCCCGCTTTGTTAATTAGTTTTCAAACCATGTCATTAGAACATCAAAGCAATAAATTACCATTTGATTTAATTGAGAACTAGAGGTAAAACAAATATTAAAAAAAACACTGAAATATTATTAAAAAAGTAGTAACAGTGAACTATACTGAAGAGAAAAAGGACTTAGAAGGAGGGGGAAACTGGCCAAAAGAGCTAAAGACAGAGTTCAGACATTGAGGCTGAGAGAAATCAAGAAAAGTATTTCAACAGTATTAATGTCACACTGCTGAGCTCATACATGAACAAGATGATGGATGAAGTGAGGGAGAGCGGAGTGTAGCGGGACAGAAAGCAGCAGAGTTGGATACAATGGATAAACGATATATATGCCTGCTATCTGGACCTGCGTTATGTTACCTGGGCTCTCCAGACCGGTGGAGACCACCTCTTCCACGTTGGAGCCGTTGAGGTTGGCCTTCATGATGCGGTCCAGCGTCACGTCAGACCAGTAGACCTGCTCTTGTGCGTGGTGGAAGTCCAGTGCGATGGCGTTCTCCAGGTTGTTGAGCAGCAGGGTGTACTCGGAGCGATGCGGCAGAACCTGACGGATGTCGATGCGGTTGGCGAACAGCAGCACAGGCTCCGGACCTAGAGGACGGAAATACAGAGACAGAGTAAATTAAAAAGTAAAACAGCATGGAGCCAAACATGAAGTGAAAGGTGGGAAACAAAAGTAAAAAAAGTCTGAGTGAGGGCCGATGGAGCATTCATCTCAGTGGTGATGAGGGTCTGGATCCTGACCTGGATTTAACTCCATTGTTGGGCTGCTGTACCAAGCCTGCCTTCACTAAATCTAGTCCAGACCTCCTGAATGAGCCATCATCAGACCCCGGAGCAGAGGAATGGATACAGTTACAGCTAAAGTAAGTATAAACAGTGTAGCTGGGTGTTTTTATTGGAGGTCAAACCCCAGCAACTTCTCTGCGGTCACATGTCAAGGTTGAAAAAGAGTGCAGTGTTTTTTTTTACCCAGAGCTTTGCAGCTGCGTTTGTCAGGTCGGAGCTCGTAGCCCTGAACACACCAGCACTGGAACCCCCCCTCTGCGTTGGTACAGCCCTGGCTGCAGTAGCCTTCTTCAGCACACTCATCCACATCTGGAAAGGGAGACAAGAGGGGAGGGACAGAATGATGCTGGTGTTAAAGTCCCGCAGGGTTTTACAATTAATTCAAGAGGGAAGTGTAACGAGGGGGCTTCAGGGTGAACAACTCGTACTTTTTTTCCACACCTCATGTATTCTCAATTATTATCTTGTTATTGCAAAGACACTTTTCGAATATGGGAGCAAATATAGCTTCTACATTAGATTCCACCAATAAAATGTGGTAAAGAATCCCAAGTCAAGTCCACAACAAATACTAGGGAATACTTCTTTAACCAAAACCTTAACTTTCCAGGAAGTTCCATGGAAATGTGTTCATGCTTTTGGGAAATATCCTGCTGACATAAGGACAAACTGACTAATGGGAGTGAACATAGGATGTGCACACACACACACACTCTCGTGCACATACACGCACTCTCGTGCACATACACACACACCACACACACACACACACACACACACACACACACACACACACACACACACACACACACACACACACACACACACACACACACACACACACACACACACACCACACACACCACACACACACACACACACACACACACACACACACACACACACACACACACACACACGTACCCTGGCAGGCTCTGCCGTCGTCCATCAGTCGGTATCCGGTGTGACAGGTGCACTGGACCAGGCCTCTGACCATCTGACACTTCTGGGAGCAGCCTCCGTTATTCTGGTTACAGTTGCCCTCGCTGGAGCGTGGACCTGCACGCCGCACAGGAACATAAACACAGCATGCTGATTCAGTATAAATACAACCACACACTGTAAAAAGTGTGACTCATCTGGTGTCGAACCTAGAAATATTTGAGGCCTATAAGCAGCAAGGCCTGAGGAGTGTGATCAGCCTCTAGCAGGTTTAGTGGGGCATTAGGCCTAAATCTCACCTTAACTAAATATTTTATGTATTCATATTTATGAAAAATTACTTATCTAACAGCAAGGTAAACCATTGAACAAATAATATACTGTAACATAAGGGTTTTTCCTAGTTTACCCCTAGTGTTTATCCAAACTCGGGTAGTATTATCATCTATTATATGTGATACACTGACTACGGACCTCAAAAAACTCCACCGAAATATACCATTAAAAAATCATATTCAGATAATCATATTCAATCTACTCACGGCAGTCATGGTGCGGGTGTTCGTCAGTCCCGTCTCCGCAGTCGTTGACCTCGTTACACACCTTCCTCTGACCGATGCAGCGTCCATTACCACACTGGAACTGATCAGGAGCACATGGAGGACTCTCTGTGGGGAGAAAAGATAATATATCCTGTGAGACAACAAACTCTCCTCCTCTTTATTTTGGAGCTATTTTGCTTTGTTTCCGGTCGTCAAAGCTCCAAATGATATCATCGTCATTGAGTGTTCATTCTGCGCAGTGATACGGTTGGTGTAGTTTAATTGAAAAACATAGTTCCTACATAAAAAAAAAAAGAAGCTATCATCAAGCTCTGTGGACTATTTTACGTAACCATGTAATGATTTCTGAAAATAGACACTGCTGTTGAGTTCTTCATACGGCTGTCATCTAGTTTCATCATATCAGACAGAAGAAAGAACATGCCATGGCTGATATGCTCAGCCACTCACACCAAAACATGGAGGTGAGTCATATGCATGTTTTAGGGGGTGTGAACTGTCCACTTTGTACCTTTTCCATCTTTTTCTCTTTCCTGTTCATTGATCATTTATATCTCAACATGAAGGCCAGGTTCTACAGTTGGTCCAGAGGTTGATAAAGCAGCAGAATAACTGCCAAACTGATCAGTCTATTGGTTGAAAGCCACTGTGTTTCTCAACAGTATGAAAAATAAATAAAAGTGAGTTTGTGTGTAGAGGAGGGCTGTTCTGAGCTGTTGTCATGACAACGTTTGAAGCTGGTGTTATATTTAGCTCCTGAAAACAAGACCACGAGCACAGTCTTACCCGTCTTCTCACAGCCCTCTTCATCACTGCGGTCGGAGCAGTCAGGCTCGCCATCACATCGCCATGACAACCGGACGCAGCGTCCAGTTCCACAGCGGAACTGGTCGGCCGTGCACATGGACGTGGCTGCAGGAAACACACACACACACACACATTTAATGTATTCTTTCTTAGATAAGGTGATTTGATAAAGTGCCTTGTTTTTTCAGAACCAGCATGAAAACCGGGATAAAATGCATAACCATCTAGAATGTGTATCTTATGCAGAGCACACACTCGCTCAGTCAGTGTGATGAAAGCAGCTACTCACTGCAGTTCTTTTCGTCTGATTGGTCGTCACAGTCGTATTCGCCGTCACACCTCCAGCCAGCGTTGATGCACATCCCGCTGCTGCACATGAATTCCACTGATCTGCAGGGCTGGTGGGAAGCTACACACACACAGGATTATATTATTAACATGAAAAATAAAACAGACAACACAACTATACCTGAAGCATCTTTTTAGAATACAAAATCTCTACTTGGAGTTCGTTATTCTGTCAAAAATACAAAAAATACTCCGGTTTCAGCATCGAGGAGAAAACATCAGGTTGCTTTTAAAAAAACAATATCAAAAGTTTAAAAAAAAAGATACACAATTGAATTTTCGGTTTTTGGATCAATATGTGAGGAGATCCAAACCCTGATCATTTGTCATGAACAGTATATGAGAAACAGTGCATGAACTGTGAAATATACAAAAACAATGTAAAAACAATGCTCTTTTATCGGTGTAGCATTGTGCTGCTGCCAGTCTTCTCTCACTATCTGGGTCTTTTCGGGTAGACCACATTTTGGAATAGGTCCAATAACCCTGGGGTTTATTAGGGTGGTTCTCTGTCTCAATCTATTTTTGGAAAAGACTTGATTTAAAAACTGGAAAGACACATGGTTTTATACCAGTGATCTAGCTTTCCCTTTAAACATGACTTGGTCCTGTTTATTTTGGCTGCCTTGTGATCATCTCTGACTACAGATCAGAGCTGTCACACCTTTTAAATGTCCCACCACATCTCAACATGTGATCGGATCAAAGAGAAGCTCCAACTGGCAGCAGATGAGGCTGGAGGTGGACGAGAAGATTAAAGCTGAATCAAACATAAGCATCTTAAATCCCTGAGTGTGTGTGTGTGTGTGTGTGTGTGTGTGTGTGTGTGTGTGTCATCTTCTGCGTGTCCTCCTGACGGCATGAGTCGGCTCCCATCAAAGCCACAGTGGGCGGGAGATAAGGGAGGAACAAAAATGACAAACTAGGGGAATGCAGGGGGAGGAAAGGCAAGAAAAGAAGGGATTTTGTCGAGCTCCAAGCATCACCGTAAAGGCTTATCAGCTGGGCGAGAGAAGACAGAGATGATCAAAACAGCAGGTGGCTCTCCCACAGAGAGAGAGACGGAGAGAGAAACGTATAGGTCACAAGAACCAGCATGGGATGCCAACAAGCACGCTGGCGCCAACACACACTCAGATGATTCATCCTTCTCCCTCTCCCTTACACACTCACGGTTCTCTTTCATCTTCTCAGCTACGCACCCGAAAGCAGTATCGGTGTTGGTAAGTGGTAACGAGGCATGACTTTTTTGAGTGTTTTTGGATGTGTGTGTGTGTGTATGAGTGAGGGAGAAGGAAATAGAGGAAGAGAGAAAGAGAGAAAGAGGGAGGCTTCTTCTCTAACAAAGCGCCCTTCATGTGTCTGGAGAGCCGATGCCAAGGAATGCTGTCTGAGGATGGGCCGTGTTAGGCCTCTGAGGAATGCCCCCCTCTGTGTGTGTGTGTGTGTGTGTGTGTGTGTGTGTGTGTGTGTGTGTGTGTGTGTGTGTGTGTGTGTGTGTGTGTGTGTGTGTGTGTGTGTGTGTGTGTGTGTGTGTGTGTGTGTGTGTGTGTGTGTGTGTGTGTGTGTGTGTATGCCCACACAAATCTGTGGGTTTCAGAAAGCTAAGATGTATTCAGACTTTTTTTTAAAGATTAATGAAATGGAATTAATTGCGATTTTGATCAGAAACTGAATGCCGACATTCTGCTGGTCATCGAAAACGTAAGATACATTATTAAGAGTATGTTTAAAAAGTACAGGAAATGAAGAGTCAGGGTGACATGAGGTCATTCTAGTGTCAGTACACAGACAGGATGTAGATTGAATAATAAAACTTGTTGGTTTCTAAGCCAAAAGTATACATATAACTCAAATTCCTATTATTGCTAAATGCAAAAGTCTTGTGTTGCTTTGATTCCACTGCACACTTTTTTTTAAAGGTATTTTTAGGATATCTCCTGTCCCCCTTTCATTATTTTTTTCACTTTTTTAAGCTTTGCTGCCAGCTCAACTTTCCAAAAATAAATATTAAAAGACTTCAGAAGCGAGGCGGCAATTAAAAAACCTAGATGTGGGAGGAGACAGGGGAGAAACGGAGAGCAGCTCAGTCAGCTAACATGACCAAAATATGTTAGGAAGAACCTTGAAGCTGCGCTTATCGCACTGCAGATAAACACATCAAAGGAGGGAAACCGCTGTGTTTGAGAGTGTGTGTGAGAGTGAGAGAGATGTGGAGGATGGTTATAGAAAATGAGCAAATGAAACAAACATGTGAGAAATTAGAGAGGAGAGAATGAGGATCATGAGATGCTGAGAGATTTGTCAGCAGCAGGCAGCGTCTCCGGGGTGGGGAGAGAGAAACACGATAGTCTGTGTTAATCAGGACCATGGCTTTACACTGTGTCTGTGTGTTTGCGTGTGTGTGTGTCATACAGTGACAAAAAAAGATCTAACAGACAGAATGTCTTCCAGCTCTGACAGATGCTGTGGAAGCGGCGCCCTGCAAAAAGCAGCCGTTGATGAGCTCAACCTGACGTCAACTGACTGTGAAATCGTGAAATTGACACTAAACGTTATGATGATTTCTGCATGTATTACTGTCTTATGTCCAATAGAAATGACTTAAATGGCAAAAAAAGTTCAAAATGAAATGCTTAACCCTGAAACCCTTTAATTGTTCTGCTTTATAAAGACTGTGCGGGTGTCGTGTGACCACACTTGAAGCTGATCCAGCTTGTTGCTGTTTTATTTCAAGTCTTTGGGTTTTTGGACTGCTTCCTGGACAAAACAAGTCGCTTGGCAGTGTCATTCAGCTCACAGAAATATTTTCCATATTTTTCTGACATATTACAGATTAAGCAATTAATCAGTTGTTCCAAAACTCAAACAGTGTGCCCCCTTTGGAAGTGATTCAGCTGGTGCATCCACTCAAAAATGACAAATAAATGCCTGTCTCGATAAGCCTATAATGTTCATTTAAACTCCAGCTGAACTAGTAGAGCAAGCTGCATGACACGAGGATGACTCGCTGTTTTGGTGCACATGTGCAGCAGTGCCATGGGGGGACATGAAGGGGAGAGAGTGATGCAGAGGAGAAGAAGGATTGAAGGGAGGAAGGATGGCTGCCACAGGGAGGAGAAACTCTCATCTAACGGCATAACAGAGGACTGATGTTTCACAGCAGCGCCATGTTCTCCTCCTGCACAAGACGCTGTTTAGTGACGAGCGATGCCATGGATCATGCAGAGTATCAGTGAGCAAGGAAATATCAGCAGCTCACTGTGAGCTTAACGGCAGGAAGGGCTGGTTCGCTCCAAAACGTGTTTCTTGTTTCTTTTTGGAGATATGTTGGAGTTTGCATCTTAGATATTCAAGTGAAATCATTTTGAAAACATTTCCTTCTGCCAAAAGAAAATGTACTTAATATGTAAGGCAGCATTAGTTTAGCTGAGGAGATCTATTATGGCAAAAATAAATTAGGAATAGGGAATAAGAATACTTTTTTTTCAGGAATAAGAATAGCTGACGAACGAGAGTTTTTGAACATTCTGAATACAAATAATGACTAGAAGTTTACTTAAATGTAATGACCTTTTTGTATATAATTTATATATAAAAAGTAAGACTCTACAAGTTAAACGAAAGAAAAAAAGCTAGACTAATATATCTGCTAGTGGATTATTGTCTAAAGGGGAAGATTCTCTGTGAGGTTGGAGGTTAACCAACACCTAGAGTCAATGTCAGGTCTCCCTAAGTGTGTGAGTAATGGAGAGCTTACAGCAGTCCGACTCGTCTGACCAGTCTCCGCAGTCGTCGTCTCCGTCACAGTGGTAGATGTCCAGGATACAGCGGCCGTATGCACACTGGAACTCCTCCACACTGCAGGTGGCTGCCATCACATCTGAGGCTGTGCGCACACACACACACACACACACACACACACACACACACACACACACACACACACACACACACACACACACACACACACACACACACACACCACACACACACACACACACACACCACACACACACACACACACACAACACACACACACACACACACACACACACACACACACACACACACACACACACACACACACACACACACACACACACACACGTTAAACAGATGCCGGAAAAGATGGTGCAGCAGCTGGCTGCCTCAGGCTCTTTGAAGCTTCCTCTGCAGAGTCTGTCAGAAACTATACATGAAATAAAGGAGAGACTGCGCTCTCTATTAAGACTGTGAACACATGCTGTGCAGTAAACCAGTTACTGTTGGATCAGACAACAAACTCAATAACAACCGTTTAGATGTGGAAATGTGTTCATTAAGAATAATTTATTTTTAGTTTTCTAACCGTTATGGATAATAAGATGAATCACTACCACAGTATGTGTGATCGCTTTTCTTTTCCTGCTTCATGTTTGATTCATTCACTCTCTAAGGGGTCCAGGAAAACAAATCTGCAATGCTAACTGGGATTCTTTTACATAGGTTTGGGAAATTGGGCTTCTCTCATTTGCTTGAACTAAAAGCCAGCTAAACACACTGATTGATGGGCTTCCCAGGAGCCACAGCTTTTAGTGGATTAAAGTCAACATTAAAGTGGATATACATAATAATAATAATGGGTTTAATTTATAACGCACTTCACATTTGAGTTAAAAGTGCTACAAGCAGTGAGCATGGGACAATATAAAACAGTACACAACACGGTAGAATTGAATAAAAAGCAGTAAAAACAAACAATGAAAAAAACGTGGATAGACTTTTTTTTTTATGTAGCTGAAAATGGCTCCCTAAAGAAACACTATTTGTTTGGTAATCAAAACCGAGTAGTGCAGCCTGTTACCAATCATTTTTGGGGAAGACATTGAACACCTGACACAAACCATTGTTTAGGCTCATATTGTCTCTGACAGCATAGACGTTAGATATTTAAACATCTTTAAATCAGCTCACAGGAAGGCTAAGTTTGAGCTACTACTTTAAAATGTATCCTGCCTGTAGGGCATTTAAAATATATATATGTTTTCAGTGGTAAAACGGTTTGTCTCTGTGTGGTGAAGGCCCAAACCTTGTTTCACAACTCAAACTACCACATACCGTGTGTAGTTTCAACCTGAGGAGCATTATCTCTGGTTTCTTCCTGTCAGGGTTCAAAGTAAATGTTTTGATTTCCTTTTTACTTGTCTGGTTTGGCAAGTGGGTCACAAATCTACTAACCCACCGTATATTTATTTGCTCTTAAACTAATTGTTTCATTTATGAGCGGCAACAAAGACTAAACCTAATTGTCATGTGTATTCTTTATTTAAATACACAAATCCAAGTTTCACCCACATCCTAATATGCCATCCAACTAAAATCCCATTTCTATCATTTATGTGTTTAATCACTGCCGTTTTTTTAAGTGTCAGATTGGTATTAGAGATGAGAAGCAAGTGAGACGTTTCAGATTTTAAATACTTCCATCGTCAGTTCCAGAGAGAATTGTATGTTTACTTTTTATTTGCCATCCTAGACTGCAATTGTTGCCTGCTCTTTAAAAGCAGGCAATCAGTATCGTTTAGCCTTGTCATTTTTAAACATACACAATTATACGCACACACTGGCAGAGTAACTTACGACAGTTTTCCTCATCTGATCCGTCCTTACAGTCCGTGTCTCCGTCACAGTACCAGTGCTCCGCGATGCAGCTGCCATCTGTGCAGCGGAACTCCTTATCCGAACATTTACGCATGTCTTTTATTGGGGAAGAAACAAGTGTTTAATTTATAAGTTAGAGTGAATGAATATGTGCTTGCATGACGGTTTTCACGTGTTTATACCCACCACACTGTTCGTCACTGTTGTCCCCGCAATCGTTGTCGCCATCACAGTGCCACAGGCTGCGAATACAGTAGCCATTTTGGCATTGAAACTCGTCTTCCTCACACTCTCTGGGAGCTGCAGGGAGATAACAAAGGATAGAGAGGTTTCAGAGGACATGTTATGAGGTTACAACAAAAGCAAAGAGCAGATACTGGACAAGAATGTGATAAGAGGAAGTAGTCCCTGAGCAGTGCTGACATTATATCTCCAGCTGCAATGATACAAGGGAAACAGTGGCATTTTATATCAGCCGCAGAGCTGGGAAGCAGCAACTGAGATTATTCTTTTGTAAACTCCGTGAACCCTCTCGAGGTCGCAGGTCTAGAGCTCAAAGACCCACAGACTGAATATCCTGTGTTTGATGCTGTCTTCATGGTCACTGACTCAATCCAAGATGTGTGACAAATACACAATAAATCACACTCAGCGGTTAGTTTACAGTTATGTTGGGTCAAATGGATGACAAGATTCCATGAAAAGAGAATTTATATTTCCATAGAAGTATCTCAAACTACAACTAAGACATTATATAGTCCTAATCTCCATTGTCCATCTGCAAAGTGTATACCAAACATGAAGTTTACCCAATTTGAGCTCAATACACTGCATTTAATTCTATCATTGCTACTGTGGATCTCACAAAATTGCTGTTTTCCCATCGGTCAGAAAACATTCAACTGTTAAAGTGTCAGAAGTCTTCAACTGCATAGCTTTTTGGATGGTTAAACAGCCTCTTCCAAGACATTAAGATGGCTGTTGAAGATGCATCTGTCAATTTCTGTAACTTTTCAAATAATCGGATGCGCACTTTTCAAAGACTTTACTAGAAACATTTAGGTAGGAAAGTGGGCAGGGTTTTAACTTCTTTCTCAGGCCCTCATTTGAGTTGTCCGAAATATTCTTCTCCCTCTTACGGGCCGTCTCCACGGCAGCGTTAAAAAATCTTGAAACGCTTCTGCCCATTCACTTTGAATGGGGTGACGTCACTTTTTTTCGCTTTCGCCGAAATGCATTGTGGGCAGGCGAGCGGAGATTCTCAGGATTTTCAAGATCCAAAGTTGAACAATGTTCAACTTTTGAAGCTGAGGAGGAAGCGTCAGCCAATCAAATCCCGTGTACGCAAATCTGACAGTTCAAGCTCTAGCCAATCAAACGGCGTGTATGCTGGGAGAGACATTTCCTCATATTCCAAAACATGGAGGAGAAATTAGCGGTAGCGAATCAATCACCCGGTGCTTTATGACCAGACCTACCGGGATATAAACCGGAGGAGCCAGGCATGGAGGGAGGTGGCAGAGACAGTGGTATGTTTTCGCCTGTTTTGGGGAGTTTATATCCAGTTTACTTCGGGCATTTTTGCTTCGTATGTCGCGGGCGGGAGATTCATGTGATTGGTTGCTCGCAAAAAATCCTCAAGCTTCAGATACGCCCACCTCCAAGATTTTTTTAACGCTGCCGTGGAGACGGCCCGTTACCGAGCAATCAGCCTACTGCAACACTATGAAAGGCTTCTTAGAAGGACCGTTACAAATGTAAACCATTTGACCTACTGTATATTTGAAATGATCTTGTCTCATACCTCAATGACAGTTGACTTTGCACCCGATCTTTCAGGGTGGCTATTAGGAAGTTAATATTTCAGCTATAAACTCTTTGGCACTGCAGAAAGGTCTAAACTTTTCTGTCATTTTCAAGAGTTGGATGCAAAAAGAAGCTAAGCAAATCCCCAGTTCCTTTCGATTTTAAACCAGCTTCATTCAGGACAGGTGTAATCGACCGAAGCTGAGCTGCAGCAGCTTGTTTTATGTCCTAATTAAATATATATGCTGCCTGCTGTACGTTAGCAAATGTTGTCTCACTCGAAAGGTAACCTTGAGTCTGAAGAAAAAAAGACAAATGTTCCATTTGACACCCGTGACAGTGCAGTTAGACAGAACTCGCTCCCTCAAGTGAACTCCTCGCACTGTGACATTGACAGTTCCAAACCCTTTCATTTTTCCAAACAACTCCTCCACCTTGCCTCTTTAATCACACCATTGATAAAAAGACTGTATGGATTTTCAGAAAACCGCCTTATACTGTTACCAACGCAATCGATGGCAAAGCCCAGCCATGCTCGCCCGAGGGCAGAGTAAACAGGTTCGTCAAGGAGAGCCAATGATGGATGGCCCCTGGCAGGAGGTAATCTATAATTTATCAGTGGCGTGTGTGAGTGCCGGACAGCTGAGACAAACAGAGAGAGATAAGGAGCGACAGAAATAGAAGGGGGCCCACAGAATAGATGGGCAGGTGAAGAAGAAGATGAAGCTTTGCTTTATTTCACTGAGATCTTTCATCTCCTCTCAGGTGGGTTTCATCACAGCACGAGTCAAAGCTGCTGGAGACAAACTCCACTCTGAGACAAGACATGAGGCCCATGTGTGTTTGTGTGTGTTGCGGAATATTCTCCATGTCCATGCACTTAGTTACCTAGTTTATATGATAAGATATCAAGGTGGCTTAATTCTGTTTACATTATATCTCATAAAATTACAAAATGACTCCTGACCAAGGTGTAATAATAGACAGTGTATTGCACTTTCAAATGTATTGTTTTTTGAATCTATATTATTATTTTGTTTAAATATCTATTTCTTTATACATTTTTCCATTTTGTTTGTTAAAATGTGTATTATTTATTTTCTTTCGTATTTTCTTTCGTATTGGCTTTTTAAGGCTAAATGAAACTGAAATTAAGTCTAAATTGAAGGAAAAAAAGAGTACAGTTTTCATTACAATATATTAATAAAATGTAAGAACAAAAATGCATCTTCAATGGTACATTTAATCTAAAACATTTCTTTAAGCTAATATTCAAAACGTAGACGTTGTTGAGCTCGACTGATAATGGATTTTTATTTATTATTAAAAATTGATTTTTATATTAGATATTTATTCACATAAATGTATAAGGATATATCACTATTTAAAAGGATCCCTTACGTTTGGTTATTAAATAGTTGTGACCAGGCATGTGTGTCGGCACAAGAAAAGTAAGTCATTTCTAGTTACTAATCCATCACCATAGAGATATAATGATTTATGTTTGATAATCAAATATCGTCCAATATATCAGCCTGCACCCGGACCATCCATCACTCTACCTTTGACAGCTAAACCTCAGCTGACCTCACCCACATCGACCTCCCCTCAGCCCGAACATGCTCTCCTCCCCCAAAAACAGAAAAGGATTTAAAAACCACAAAAAGCCCATCGGCAGGGCCAAATGAAAATGTAATTATATGTGCATTATCGACAAATGCACTCATTTACTCTATTATTCAACTTATAAGAAAATAATTGATTTTCTCCCTCTCTCTGTTCCTCCCATGCTCCGTATTCCCTCCCATCAGCGAGGTAAACAGAGGGAGGTCGGAGGTCAACAAGCCCCGAAGACGCTCATCATTCACACTGCAGCCAAACGTCAAAGGGCAAAGGGCGCTGGGAGTCATTACCAGGCTCTCTCCATGTGTGTGGGTGCTGAAATTGTTTTTTTCTTTCTGTGAAATGTATTTTCAAACTTTCAGAATCTCATGTTCAAACACACACTGAGACACACCTCAGTCTCCGTGTTTGTCTGAAAATCTTGACAACTACTTCAGTTCCAGCCGAGCGTGGAGGATTGTCTCCCCGTCTCTAAATAATGAAATGAAACCACGGCATCGCGTTGAGAAGCTGAAAATATTGGAAGGTGAAACACAGACTAGGGTGAGCAAAAAAGAAGCATGAAATAATAAGTAGTTTGGGGAACGGGGCAAATTTACTGGGCATGAAGATGAAAAATTCATAGCTGACTCGCAGCAGACAGACACCCCCCCCCATCAGGAAGTGATACAGTGTCTGGCTGCTGATACAGCATGTGGGTCAACAAAGGAGGAGGAGAACTCGATAGATGATGGACGTAACGGAAAATTCATTCAGAAGAGACAAAGCTTACCTGTACCTGCTGTACACTCAAACTGCATGAGGTCTAATACACAAGTGACTGTGGAAATCTATCCATTTCAAGAACGAGGCGATTATTTAAGTGCTAGCTCTAATTGCGGGATCCACCATTTTTATTAAGCAAGTCAATTTCCCCCTCGCTTCAAACACAAAGCATATCTTGTTTTGCCATTAGTGCTCTCTTCATTAAAAACAATAGCAAAAACTGAGTTTGGCAACATCATGAAGTAGCGTGGGATCATGGGAGTTGTAAGTCGCTTTGGACAAAAGCGTCAGCTAAATGTAATGTCATGTAACGTTGTCTTCATTATCGTTGCTGTTATTGCAGTCAGCTCCTCGTGTTAATAGCCTGGAGCCGGATTATTCACAGAGGTCTACTCTTCTCCAAAATAAACGTGTTGATTCAAATTGGTAAAGACATTGAATAAAGCAGTTTCAAGTAAATAAAATCACAGTTTTTCAGATGTTTGCCACACACAGGATGTTGAAGTCTGCTCTGCCCCCTTCTAAAACGTCCAATCAATAAAATCCTTCATCCAATAAAATATATAGTTAAAAACAACCAAAATCTCAAAAGCATATCTAAAACTCTGGCTTAGAACTGGATAATAGTTCATTTATGACAGGTTTGGCAGAAAACCACATAAATGACGCAGGCTCAAAAGGGAATAAAACCATTATCTTAATTGAAATGATGTATTTCCCTTGCGTTATTGTAAGTACACTACTTGACAAAATACACAGTATGACATAGGTCACATTTTAATGTGTAAAAGTTCTAATACTAAACCATTTATACAGATGCCTCTATTCATTCTAAAAAGCAGTTTCTTAGTCCAACACTTTGGTCCACAGTGAAATATTATTACCAATACTTAATGGTGTTTTGTTTAAATATTCAAAAACCCCAAGAACACATTTAGATGACACCTGCTGAACACTATCTCAAAAACAAATCACTTAACTTGTCTCAACAGGCTAAATGCTTACTCATCAAAGCTGACCAAACACACAATTATTGCTTATAGCTGACATCTGTACCCATTATGTACAAGTGGTACAATTAGTGCGGACGAAATAAAAACTGCACAAAGGGTCCAGCAATTAACGTAAGGGTATAAGATCGGCAAATTGTTCTGTCTGAACAGACACCTATATACTGTAATGCGAACACAACAACGGTTACAGTCCTTGTTTAATTTTTGCATCTGTGAGTTGAGACAGTGCGGTCCATCTGGCCTGCAGATATCAACATGCTTCAGTCTCCTGAGCTAACCAAACACAAAAAGCTTTCTTTTTCAGCTTGCTGGCTTCCTCAACCGGTGCCCTCAGGCAAGTCCCTGGGTTATGGGCTTATGTTGTTGGTCGTGTTGCCTTTTTACTAAGATCTAATATTTGTGAGGGGGCTTATTTGCAGCATAATCCTCTTCATTGTTTATTCATTCATAGATCACAGACTGGAGATTTTTCTTAGAAGTCTAACTGTTTAACCATTTGCTCGACTTAATGCGATAGAGGAATCATATCTGCTGATTGCCTAGCTACCTCGCAGTCATGTCAAGGAAGTTCCCCCTGCCTCTAGCACACAATGCTAAGCTAGGCTAAACATCCCTCCCCTCATCTAACTCTCAGCACATTTCAGTGTCTCTGACTTAAGATATGTTGTTCACCACACTAGCTCCCTCTTCTGCACTTGTGACTAGCCCATTAGGCTAAAAATATAGCTAAGCTATGAGCTAAATAAAGAAATTGTATTAATCAACAATTCCAAACAGCAATTATCAATGTTAAAATGTTGCAATGAGTTAAACAACATGTTGGTGGTTCACAATCCTTACAACTATTATATTTCTATAACTGGGAAGTGTTGAGGTAAAAATAAGTCTGTATTGGTCTTTAGATAGAAGTTGGTCACTGAACGGACACTGGGTGACTCTTTGAGCCATGTGTTGTCTCCATCAGGGACACGTCACTCCCTGTAACTATTCCTGTCCCTGCACAGAGAGTTAAGTGTGATTAGACTGAATCACAAAAAACACCGACAGTGTGATGGAACAACTGCCGTGCAGCGTTCATCCGCACGGATCAGATGGCACACACGGAGCCATTCTGAGTCAATCCAACACTGACACATTTTTACACCAAGGCGCCTCGTATTGACACAATGCATTCCCTAACCTCGCAATACATACCTAAACTCTTGGCATTGCACTTGTATAAAGTTGAGGGATTCAAATAACAAATACACATACACTAATGCTCGGCATGCAGTGCTTCTAAATACTTTTTCCATGACTAAGACGTGAGGATGACAAGACGACATCTACGTCATTGATGAAGTGAGAGAAAGACAAAACACAAACTTGAAATGGACCTTACAAAGATAGAAATACAGGAGCACACACACACACCAGGAGGCGATACATAAATATGACAGCAGAAATAGACGCTCTCCTCCCTTCACCCTCTGCGGGACACATTCTCCCTGGAAAGCAGCTGAGGGGTATTTTGGATAGAACACACAGTCATGCACACACACAGATATATTCACAAATGACAAGAAAAACAGGATAAACTGAGGTCAAAGGTCACAGAGTGTCATGTGTGGCGACCGTGGGAGTGCTAACCTCCTGTGTGTGTGTGTGTGTGTTTGTGTGACATCCAGGCAACTTTTTTCAGAATCAAAACAAACTCCTCATTGCACATGGCTGCCGCAAACATCTGTCAACTTCAATAACTCACCCCCTCCTGTGTGGAGAGAGTGTGTGTGTGTGTGACAGCAAATACCAGTGTGCTTGTGTTTGTTTGCATGTTTGTGCTGACAAGAGAGACAGGAAGTGTACTTACGACAGTCCTGCTCGTCGGAGTCGTCCTCGCAGTCGTTGTCCCCGTCACACACCCAGGAGCGGCGGATACATTTGCCGTTGTCGCAGTGGAAGTCCAGCGGCGAGCAGGTGGGAAGCACTGCAAACAAACAAGGCGAGACAAAAGCTCTGTCAGCACAAACAATCAAATAAACAAACAAACAGTGCCAGGCTGAAAGGAGAAGGGGGTTTGCTGTGGTTTTCAGGAGGTACACGACTATCCGATTTAGGTGCTTTTCTATCAGAATTGTACTTTTTTGTCACTTTTCCTTTCCTTTATTCTTTTATATTGTATTTCCATGCAAGCTGCATCATTGTATTGTAGGATACACCATTTCAGTAGGACTCCATATTGAAGGCCTGAATGACGTTCAAATGAGAGATTATATGCAACATCATGACAGAGTTTCTGACGTTTAGCCTCTGGAAGTTACTCTTTATTTCAGGGCGATATGAGTCAAAATACAATGAAATCTTCATTCATATCTCAGCCCCCCTAGTAAGATTGTAGAGTTTTGATACATTTTCTTTACACGTCATTAGCATGAGTAATATAACTATATAAATAATGTTTTTATCTTGATGCAAAACTACAAGCAGCCGCACAAAAACATTTAGAAAATAATACAGTCTAAAATTGGTAAAATTATCTTACCGAAGAAAACTGTAATAAAATAAGATTATGGATATGATCTGCCGTTTTACCGATCAATATGGTAAAAGCTTTAGGATCCAATACCCAGCCTTACCATCAACAAGAAGATGCCTATTAGTTCAAATTGAGCCATTTGGCCGAACCTGGTTTCATCAAAACTTCTCTCTTTTACCCAATACATTAAATATTATAAGTGTGTGTATGTGAACTGGGTCTCTGGGTAGTTGGGATGGGCATTTCTCACATTATCGACCACACCATAAAACAATGAATCATATACAACTAATCTGCTGATTCTTTGCTACTAAAAAACAACACTAAATCACAGTGTTTTAATAATCAGATGTGACGTCAATCCAACACAGTGATGAAGCGTTCCCCGATCTCTCACTCAGCACTCCTGCAGTAAAGGTCAGTGTTTGACACAGTTTAAATGCAGGAGGTTTAACTCTCTGTCTGGTCTCAGCTCATCCACAGGCCGATCTGGACCAACGCTCCTCTCTCTCACCTTCTTACCCCGAGACCCAGAACTCAACTCAGCTCAGCGCATTCCTCCTTAACTTCATATCCGCTCTAAGTGCAGCTACTCGCTATCTAAGCACAGCCCCAATGACTGGCCCTTTGTCATCTGCAGACAGAGCTAATTTAATTACAGGCCAGAGAGGGATGGAGGGAGGAGGAGGAGGAGGAGGAGGAGGAGAGAAGGGGAAAGGAGGCGAGGGAACAGCAGCTACGCACAGTGGACTCTCACTCACTTGTCAATACCACATATGAAATATTGACCGAGCAACGCAGACTTTATGAAAAATGAATGACGTCACGCAGCGAGTTAAGCAGCGAGGCAGACAGGCGGACGAGTCGGGGCTCAGTGAGTGAATTAAGTGAGTGTGTGTGAGTGTGAGTGTGTGTGAGTGTGTGTGTGTGTGTGTGTCGGGGTGTGGCTCTGCTCTCCAGGGGAAGCAAAAGCCCCACTGACCCACATAGCCCTGCATGGATATTACATTATTCAGAGTGAAACACAAAGACAGAGAAAGAGAGGTAATCAAACAGAGCTCTTTCTCTCGTCCGCCTCGTTCTCCTCACCTTCTGATGAACTTCTGTAGTTGGGCAAAATATGCCACGTGAAACATTTCTGCAAGCAATTATCTGAATCTTACAATCAGTTTCTTTATTTCTCTCCCTACAGGCAGGCATTGGTTTCACTTCTATTCAGCAGGATGGGAACATCCACTTATTCCAGATACATGAAATGAGACTTGAGATAAGTCATTCTCCATTACAGAACAACCATTTCAACCTTTACACTTTTTGTAAAAATTGTTTTGTCATTTTGTAATAGCTTTCCTATGAGCTTTCCTTCATGTTTCTATAACATACAGTAGCTCATTAAAATTCCCTTTGTCTAGCAGACAATCAATTTGACATGTTGCAGCATATTTATGAAAAATGGCTGCTGCTCTCAAAACATAACTCTCTTTACTGAAAGACATTACCATTCTTGATAAACCTCTCAATACATCATAAAGCTGATAAAAGGTTTAGAAGATTTAGCAATGTATTTGTTTTTCTAAGAGTTTAGACTATAGATTATTAGAATAATAATAACCATGTAGTATCATTTTGAACTAAGTTGATCAACAAATCATTGAGTTTCCTGATTTAATAATGAGTTGGCAGACAGGAATGGGAGACATGTTTGACAGTTGATCATTGAACATAAACATCAAAATATGATATTTGTTTTTAGTTTTTCAAATGTAAGACATTTTTTACTTACTTTAATTTGTTTAAGTCAACAAAAATAATCTACATGTCAAACAAAACAGACAATTTAAATATGTCAACATGGGCCCTGGGAAATAAAGATTGTATTGGAACAGTATTCCAAAACTATTGATTTGCTTGGAATCGTCAATTTAATCACAATTAGTGAAGCCGTAGTCCTCAAGGCTATTAGTCCCTCTCAATTAACACAATTGGTCTTCAGAGGCAAAGTGCAGAGTTCAATATTTGCCAGGAATGCTGTATTAAGTGGCAACTGCAGTCAAATTCACAGTGATCTGATAAGTTGAATCCTGACGCCAACACACTTCCTACAAACCTCTCTTTGTCAAACTGAAGCATTTGAACGTTTTTTGGATGAACCCCCGACTCGGCGTCCAACAAGAAAAGAAAAATGCCTCTTTTCAACATTTCAATAAATAATTCAGCTTATCAGAAGAGGAACGGAGCGTGGTTTTGACAGGCACACACTGCCTCACACATACAAACACACACATGCAGACATAAGCAAACCGTCGTCACACCGGTTAAACAAACACACTTGTCCATAGCGCAGAATTGTTTAGGCCCACAAATTGGGAACGTTGCAAATTGTATGCAAATAAACACTTCACTGTCTCTTTTTACTCGTACACACACAAGGTCAGGCAGGAGGAGGGGCCTGTATACTTGTTATCAGTTGGATCAGCATGGAGCATTCTGGGAAGGTTGATGAGGCCTCTGGGCGCTTTGATCCCTCTTATCACACCGATTCTGCTCAGCTCAGCGCTGCTCTTAATGCTACCACTGCATTCCTCTGACACACACACACACACACACACACACACACACACACACACACACACACACACACACACACACACACACACACACACACACACACACACACACACACACACACACACACACACACACACACACACACACACACACACACACACACACACACACACACACACACACACACACACACACACACACACAACTTTGTCCACTTTGTTGCATTCTAGGAATCGTTATATATTACTTTTCTATACTACTTTGAAGAGAATTTCATTCAAATCCTTCATTTCCATTCCATCGTCACACAAATATACATATATAGTGAAATATAGTTTCCGCATTTTGATACCTCTCAATGTACCAGTCCACACTTCATACGTGGTGAGATCCGGGACTTGAACCGCAGACCCTCGGGTTCCCAGTACATATTGAGCTACTTCACCTCCATCTGCCTCATTCCAACATTTCTCACAATGCTTTTCGATCTCAACAGGAAAAGTGGGGTTTCTTTGTTTACCAAGTTACAAACACTATTAATGATGTACGTATTTTCCCATATAGGAAAGAAGTAAGAGAGCTGACAGAATATTGCCGCAGCAAAAAACGCATCAAAGACGGTGTTACATTTCACAAGCCTCTGATGACAGATGCACGACAACGCAATGCATTTTGGTCCATTTCCATCTCCTGTTGTGCTCCATTAATTATGTAATATTGTCACGTCCTACTGAGCGTTTGATGTGGATGTTTGGATATTTGCTTAAAGAACTTGCCAAAGCATTTGACATTGACGTTCATTCACCACCCATACTTCTCATCCTGGCTACAGAATTCCCACTTGCATTACACAGGTCATCCCTAACCCACTCTAACACACAAACAAGTGAAGGCCTTTTTTCAGCTCATTTCATTCCTGATGGTATAAAGGCTAAACAGATCTTTTCCGTCATATGAGAATCTGTATTTTTCCTTTTGCATCTCCTGATGTCAAGCATTGAGCCAAGATAATGAAGATGTCCAGTTCACCACAAATGTTTCCTGGAGAGACGAGGGAAAACTGGAGGTGACCCAACCGGCTTTAGACTGAAAGAGAAAACCTTTATTTGAGCCCCTTGGATGAGTTATTCTAGTCAGACAACAGACTCCTCTGTCCTGCTGTGAGGTCTCGGCCTCCACTGAATGCTGCTCTTTAAACTGCTATCCAATGTTGTATTTTTATAACTATTTGTCTGTGAGAATGTCCTTTATTTTTTATTATGTATCTTTTAATCTCAAAGAGCCCTATCAATTTTGCATGCTCATTGGCTGTGTCTTGAAATAAGATTGCGTGGGTCTGGTTTACAGGATTGTGTGTGTGTGTGTGTGTGTGTGTGAGTGTTCCATGTCCTAAGGAAGATGTATATGTGTGTCTTTAAGTGGCCATGAGCGGCAGAGTTAATGGGCTCCCCTTGACTGTAGAGCAGCTGAATCAAGTGGCCGTAATGGGACCAATATATCTGCCTAAACATCGCTTATCACACCGGCTCGACGGATGGGAGGATGAGAGAGAGAGAAAGAGAGAGAGAGAGAGAGAGAGGAGTGAAAAACAGATGTGTACTCTAGAGAGCGATACAGGAGCCTGCGAGTCTCATGTGAATATCTCATCCGAGGAGCTTTAACAAAGGTTTTCTATTTCAGTCCAAAACATGTCGGTTCATCTCCGGATTACTGTCGTCTCTACCGGGAACATTTATTCACGCTGGTGATCTGTGTATTTTTCATTATTTTGTCACATGTTTATAGCAGCCATTACACACAGACAAACACACACTTGCATGACTATGCTAATGTAGCTCAGTTGAGGGTAAACTGTGTTGTCAAAAAGATGGAACAACGTGTTG